CCACCTCCACCTCATATTTCATAATTTTGCATCCCTTGCATTCATGTATCTATAACTGCACTTACCCCTGGTTGAATCAGAGTATCCGCAGATAGTGCCCAAGAGTTGACCTGGTGATTTTTTGTTTTTGTTTGAGAATCACACACAGAGGCGCTCAGCCTACCACACCATGCCATAGATGGAACTGAGGGCTTCCCCTCACAGAACGTGTGCCCCAGCCCCAAGGAGGGGATTTCGGTGTGCAGCCTTTCTCACCAGCCCACACTCCTCCCTTCGGTCATGTGTATGCCTGACATCACTTACTCCACCTCTCAGCTCAGCACCTCCAACTTATTATGTCCCCAAATGAGCCCATCTTTCCCTTTAAGCTTCATTCTCTGATGCCCACCTTCCTGCTACCATTCATAAACCAGAAAAATTTCCTTCCTCTGCCTTCCATTCTCCATCCATAATCACACCCTAAGGCTGTTTGTTCCAATTTTATGTTTCTGGAATGGCCCCAATTCTCTTCATTCTCTCCACTTTTCCAGCCTCTTAGCTCACTTTCCCACCTGTAAAATACTCTCCACGCTGGAACTCATGGATCTGCTTTGAAATCCTTCACAGGGGGGTCAGGGGTGCAGCCCAGTGGTAGACTGCACATCTCATGTATGTGTGTGAGGTCCTAGGCTTTATCCCTGGCAACACCACACACACACACACACACACACACACACACACACACACACACACACACACACTCACTGGTTCTCTAGCTGTGGGAGGAAAAATTTCCTTTATAAGGTAAAGGCATCTATAACTGGGTCCCCCACTTGAACCTAAACTCTAGACGTTTATCCATCCACCCTGATGCGCAGTATGCTTTCCTCTACTTCACTCTTCATCTTTGTGATGAAGCAGCATTATTTTTTTTTTACATTTTCTTCCCATAGTCCCTATTAAAAGCTGCAACTCTCAGCTCAGATTCATTTTCCTATTCTAGAAGTTGTTTTCTGACACATCTCTATCTCCTCTTTTAGGCACTTCTAAAATCAGCTCTGTTCTGAACAGTACTAAAATGTTCCTGAATCATAATCTGACATAGATCTTGGTTGTGCAGGATAACACAAGGTGAGGATGAATGACTTTCCTTGCCCGCTATGGCCAGCTGTCCCACTCCGGTGCGTTCTCACTATTTACCAGACGAGATTGTGATTTTTGTTGCGGCTTATGCTTGTCATTTCCTATCCCTGTGACAGACTTTAGTACAATGGAATGATTGGATGAATAAATGAATGAATGATGATGTTCCCAGCCATTCCTCAGGGCCAAGCAATCTTCACTAATTCTAAATTCAGGTGGTTCAATTCAAAATATAAGACCTCTACAAGGCTGCTGCAGGCAAGTCTGCACTTTTTTTTTCTTTCTGAGGTCACACCCGGCGATGAACAGGGGTTACTCCTGGCTCTGCACTCAGAAATTCCCACCGATGGTGCTCGGGGGACCATATGGGATGCTGGGGATCAAATCCGGGTCGGCCACGTGCAAGGCAAACGCCCTACCCACTGTACTATAGCTCCAGCCCAAATTTATGCTCCTTAGTTTCAGCATTTAAAGATGCCTGATGGAGCTAGGGAGCTAGGTAATCAGGGAAAAGACCCCAGTACAATCCCCAATTCTGTATCACCACCCCCTGCCCTTCCCCTCTCTCCCCAGTACCAGAATCACACCACTGAGCCACACTACACCATGCCATTGTAGCTATCCAGTCTGGTGGGCCATGGACTAGCCAGTAGACCTTGAGTTTCCTCTGACCACAGCTTCAAAGGCAGACCCTTAAAAACTCCCTGCCCTGACCACCTCTGTCCTTCCCAAGACATCAACATGAACCAAGCCAGGTCAATGGATACCGCTGGCCTTGCACACAGCAGCTGACAGGAGTTCCATCCCTGGCATCCTAAATGGTGCCCAGAGCACCATGAGGAGTGAGCACAGAGCCAGGTGTCCCCCTTACCCCCCCACTGAAAAAAGAATGCCTGAGGAAACATATAAATATTTTTGGTTTGGGTGCCACATCCAGCAGTGCTGGGAGATCCCCAAAGCTTGATGCTCAGGGGACTATGTGGTCCTGGGCCCTGAATCTGGGTCCCCTCACATACAAAGCATCTGCTTCAGCCCTTACTGCACATTTTGAGTCTGGGCAAGAAAAGTCATGAAGTTGGGATGCTTGCCAAAAAGAAGGCTAAGAAGAGAGTGTTTCTTTTTTTTTTTTTTTGCTTTTTTTTGGGGGGGTCACACCCAGCGATGCTCAGGGGTTACTCCTGGCTCATGTACTCAGGGAATTACTTCTGGCGGTGCCCGGGGGACCATATGGGATGCTGGGAATTGAACCCGTGTCGGCCATGTTGGCTGCGTGCAAGGCAAATGCCCTACCCACTGTGCTATCGCTCCAGCCCCCAGAAGAGAGTGTTTCATACCGGGGAAAGGCTTTCTAAACCTTGAGGAGTAATCGCTATTGTTATAACTTTTGAAGAACCTTAATGGGGGTTTATCAAGTATAAACCCCAATAAGAAAAATTCCAAGAGTTTTCCTATACCTTTTAGGACTTTGTTACAGGCTGGGTTTCATTTTTCTTGCTGAAAGTACAGAAAACCCTTGCTGTGTACAGGTTGAACATTTTTGTGGGACTTTGGAAATTGCAGGCAAGCAAAGTAAGAGGTAATTTCACTGAGCCCTAATTTTGGATATGAGGTAGATCCATCAGGATATGCATCCCAACCCATTATGTTATAGACGTGTATTAAAAGATTAAGGGATTAAGGCCAGAGCAACAGTAGAGAAGGTGCGGGCCTTGCACAGGGCCGACTGGAGTTCAAAACCCAGAACCCTAATATGATCCCCCAGCTCTGCCAGAAGAGTCCTGAGCACTGCCAGGTATGGCCCAAAACCAAAACCAGAAATAAATGAACAAAGAGATTACAGGATTAGGGGAATGATTACTAAAATGTTTCAGTACCTGTCTGCCCCTAATGGAGAAAACAAGCTATCACGGTAAAAATCAAGATTCAGTATACAGCTCTACTACTAATATAGTTCACTACAAAGATTTTCTTTACTTTCTTTTTCTTTTCATGATACACCTGAAGATGCTCAGAAGTTGCTCCTGGTTGTGCTTGGGGGACCATGTGGGATGCAGGGGCTAGAACCTAGATCAGCCCAGATCACTCTGGCCCCTATAGTGGATTTTCTTAAACAAGGCCATCCCCTGCAGTTTGGCCCACGAGGTGCCAGGGATCAAACCCTGGGCTTATCAGCAAGCTCTAGACCTTCAGGCCTTCTTCCGAGTCAATGATTTTTAACTTACAAGAATGCATGAAGTCCAACAGTGAGAATCAGGCTAAGGACAACAGAACCTTCCCAGGACCCAGGAAAGCAATTCCCTGACCACAATCGAGTTGAATAGACAAGAGAAACTTGAGGAAAGAGGAAGTCAGCCCAGAGGATAAATTTCATGGATACACCTTCCAAAATGGCTCCCACCACCAATAAACCAACCCCTGGAAATAGAAGCGGGGATCTCGGAACAGTTGGATAGAATTCAGGAGGAAACGACTCAACCCAGTTTCTCACAGAACACAAGGTTGTAGAGGTCACAAATCCTGGGGTTAAGCAAACCCAGCCTGGAATTCCAACACTGTGACTAACCATTCTGCTACGTGACTGGGTGTGACTTTGTGTTATTGATTGCTTGCCTTTTGTCTTTGAAATGACGATTGTCAACATTGGTCTCTTCAGATGAACTATATGCTCAATGAATTCCATGTTCGACTTCCTATCTTCACACCCTGCACACAGCCCCAGCTGCTCATCGCTGGGCGGGAACTATGCTTGCTCTCATTCGCCGTCTCCTCAGCTTTGGTTACTTCATCATCTTCTCTCTGCCCAGTATTTACAGAGAATACCTCACCAGAATTTTCCCCACTACTTCCCTCCAAGGTCTTCAATACTCACTTGTTTTTCTTTCAAAATACAGACGCTGCATCCCTATATGAAACAACTAGAAATCAGAGAAGCTAAATGGGTAAGAGAAATTAAGTTCAAGAAAACTTTTATTTGTGGACCTGAAATAGAATCGGTATTAGAAACTCCTCTTCTTTATGGAGGTGGGACAGTGACAATTAATTAAGACTATTTTGAAGCGATGGGAGCTGCCAACACTAGTTTCCTGCCCGGAAGCCCTTGGGAATGCTATTAAATAGCGGAAGCATCTGGAAACCTATGCCCACTTTTTCTTTCGGCTTCTCTAGCCCCCATGAAAAATCACCACCTGGTCAGCTGACTGCTTCCTCCCACTGCTACCTCTTACCGAGCAGAAGTGAATCAGACGACCAATATGACTTTTTAAAAATGATTTAATCGAGTAGTTTTCTTGGAAAAAAACAATAAGGCAAAAAAACCAAAAATATATATAGTTTTGTTTTGTTTTCATGTGACTTTATTTCACCTGAAGGACTCAAAGCTTCTTCCATTAGCAGGAATCTGACTGAGATCAGTTGGAAACATAGTCCAAGTGGAGGGAGGAACGGGGAGGGATAAAGCAGGGATGGTCAATGCTCTTGGGGGATTTCCGCTCTGTCTGAACCCCCAGATTGGGCCGCCACCTTCACGGGCCCTTTTGAAAGCGGCCCTGGCACAATCCCTTGCTTACGCTGGAATCAGGTTCGGAGGAGGAAACGGCCCAGCGGTTGCCCCTCTCGTGCTCATCACAGCCAGGAAGGGAGGATGGTGGGGAAGGAGGAAGAGTACTAATTGACGTAGTAGAAATCTAATTTCTCTGGAGGGATGGCTTCCTCTGGAATGCTATTTCCCCCGAGGACCCACACTGGCTGAGGCTCAGCAGTTAAGGAACAGAAACAGAAAATGCTAACAAAAAAGCGTACAAGGAAGGCACCTCAATTTGTGATCCTCAACCACGGGTGGGTTGTACAGGGGTTGGTTTTTAAAAAAAAAAAAAAAAAAAAAAAAGAAGACTGAAACAAATACAGAACAAACAGAACAAACAAAATGACGGAAGCCAGGGCCCATCGGGAGTAGTTCTCTTACCCACTCCACATCCTGGGAAGAAGGTTCCTTTGGGAGTCAGCTGTGCATGCTGTGATTTGGACAGAGGCAGAATGAAACTGGATTTTAATCCTCCTGACTCTCTAACCTATACTCTTCCTAAAAAAGAAGGGGGAAAGGCAGAAAAGGGTGCAGACTTTTTGTTTTCAAGAGACAGGTGACTGGGAGAACAAAGCTGAGCCAGCAATGGGGGACCCATGATACAAACCATGGATAACATCCCTGTTGTCAGGGGTCAATCTGTCTGCTCCTAAAATGTGGAAAATAAAGAAAGCTTCAATCCAAATCAAGTGTCTGAGAGTCCCAGGGAGATAAGGGATTTAAAAACGAAAAACAAACGAGATTCTTAGGGGGAAGAAGGAAAATCAAACAAACAAAAAAAAATTAGATTTTTCTCTACATATATATAATATACAGATATTTAACACATTATTCCAGAGGGTGGCTCCAGTCCATGGGGCTTGAGAGATGGCGAAAACTTGTATTCCAGATAAACTCTTCTCAGATTCTGAAGTTTATCAAAAATGGGACAGGCAATGTCTTGCTCCACACTGGGCACAGACCCAAATTGGTACTGTGTGAAGGGGAAGGAGTCGGGGGAAGGGAGACAGGAGAGAAAGAGACAGATGAGAGGAGAGAGGAGATGGAGAGAGAGAAGTCAGAAAGGTGATGGATGGAGAATGGTCATGAGGTGAAGAAGAACTGGGAAAGCAAAAGTGGCTCGTAGTTTTTTGACATCCTGACTAGTGTTATCCATAAAAACCCCTTTTGTGAGGATCATGCAACCCTCCTACCAAACACCAAAGTAGCATCCAGTTGCTGTCCAAAAACATGAGAATGGCAGGAGAGCGTTGTATGGAAGTGAAGATGGAAACTTCCAGGAAAAGAATTCTGAATGTTCCAACCTCACAGAACGACCCCGTTGCTTGTTCCTTGTTCCAATCACCGCGGGCACCGACGCGCGGACCCCCCATTAAAATCATCCCATTTGTGAACTCATTTCATAATGCTACGCCTAAGCCCCACCACAATCATTCACAATGCATCTGCTGGTAAGTCTCTCGCGTTTCTTTTTAAAGGAACTGCTAAAATCAGCTCTTGCTCGGAACAGCACCAAAATGCCCCTGAATCATAATCTGACGTAGATCTTGGCTGAGCAGGATACAACAAGGGGAGGGCGAATGATGTCATCTTAAACGGGGGCAGAGAAGAGCCAAGAATACTTGACTCTGCAGAAGTGGAATAACAAGAACTTTCAGCCACTAAACCTCTCCCTTACAAACACAGACATCTAGTATTTCGATTTCAGTTTCAATCAGCTAAGGCAACCAGCCAATCACCACCACTGGTGTCTGCTTCTGGTGATTGATTTGGAAAAAAATGATTGGTTAAGACAGACAAACTTGAGGAAAGCCCTCGGTGAGAGTCACGACTGCCAGCTTTCCTGCACATCTCTGTCCTCTTCTCCTTTGGATCCTTCTCCTTTTTTTCCTTTTCTTTTTTTTGTTACTGACATTTCAGAAAATGTCCGGGCAAGAGTTCCAGTCCTGTTTCTCTTTACTCTCCCAGTATCCTCCCCTATAAATATGAGTTAACTCCTTGGTGACTGGGTCCTTCTTCCGCTCAAACCACAGCGCCTTATACGGGTCATAGGGTGTGCCTGAAGATAGAGAGGGAGAGAGACAGAATTAGCACCGAAGACACACGGACAACTCTCTTCACACCCGGAGTTAGAGAAGGCAGGACTGTTACCGTCCTCCGTGGCTTTCATGGCTTCTGCTTCTCTCTTCTTTCTGGAAAGTCTTTGTTTCTCCTCCAGGCGCTGCTTCTCGGCGTTCGCTTCATCCCAGCGCCCATTTTCCATCAGTCTCTGATCGGGCCGTAACCGGCTATCTGTGGGGGCAGTGCCACCTTCCCAGGCATTGAGAGTCAGGGCAAGTTCTGAGAAGTAGTACATGTTCTCGGCATTCTTCCTAAAAGCAAAGGAGGAGGAAGTAAGAGGAATGCTGGAGCCCAAATCCTACAGAGGGTTAAGGGGCAAAAACTAAGAATGCTGCCAAGAGACCACCACCGGGACTGCTCTGCAAACGGAGAGGCCCTCCTGTCCCCTCCCCCACGCCACTCCACGGGACAGTTTTCCAAACTTGTGTTCAGCTGAAATGAGGAAGAATAAAAATGCCTACTAAACAAGAATTCCTTATTTCTGTTTCTTTAAACCTCTGACTAGGATAACCTGGCTTATTACTGATGACTAGATGATGAGAGGAGACAAAGGGCCTCAATATTTTTTTTCCTCTTTTGGGTCATACCCAGCTGTGCCAAGCATTACTCCTGGTGCCATGCCTAGGGATCACTCTTGGCAAGATTCAGGGGCCTTTCTGGGGCGTGGGGAATGGAACCCCGGTCAGCTCAAAGTAGGATGTGGATACTGAGACTCACGGTAAAGGGTTCCTTTTCCATAGCATGATCCTTTCTTCTGTTTCGTGGCCTCTCTGTCGAGCATCACCCCCATTTTCCCCAATGACTGGTTGTACTTTGAAACAATCCATTTTCTCATCCCATGTGCCCAGAAGAGCATAGTGAACTCTTCCTGATGGATCTGTCACTTCCCCTGTCACCTGCAAGGATGAAGAACAAAATTCTGGAGGACAGAATTCATTGTGTGTTAGCTTTCCCGACTGTTCTGGAAACCAAAACCTTGGGGGTACATACCAGTTAAATCCTTGTGATAGCAAACACCAAGGGACATGAATATTTTGCTTTTGGGGGGAAGGATAGGACTTGGGGTAACACTGAGTAGTGCTCAGGGGCTATTCCTGGCTCTGTGATCAAGAGCACCATGTCACATATGCTCTTTTGAGCATGAGGATCAAATTGGGGTTGGTTTCATGCAAGGCAAGTACAATAATCTTTGTACAGTCTCTTCGGCCCCTAGAATCTGAACATTTTGTTGTATTTTCCTGAGCGGTTTAGAGTCACTGTGTTATGAACTGAGAATTTTGTTATCATTTTGTTGAACAAGGAATTTTTGTTTTGGGTCACATCTAGTGGTGCTCAGAACTTACTCCTGGCTCTGTGCTCAAGAATTACTCTTGGTGGGGACTTGGGTGATCATATCGGGTGCTGGGGAATGAGTCCAGGTTGGCTGTGTGCAAGGTAAGTGTCCTATATGTCATTCTACTGCTCCAGCCCCTGTACGATGACAACATGCAGAAAAAGGGTCTGGCTGGTACGCAGAATTATCATATTTTCTTCTTCCTAGAAATCAGACTAGAAAGCCCATTTACTCTTTACTCTCCTATCAAAACTCATGCTACAATTCACACCGTTCTCTAACTCCATCGGGGTCAGTTACCCATGCTCTCCTTCCTGTAATCCTTTCTTTCTCTGTGTTTCCTATTTTCAGCTTCTCGTTGCTAGACATTTACCTAGATGGACATTTATGATCTTGTCTTTTCAGAAAAGGATTTGTTTTAGTAATGTGACAGAGTTCCCTTTCTTGCTGACTTTCTCCTTTACATTTATTTTGGAAACACCATTTTTGGGACAACAACAGACACACATACACATACATACACATAGAGGTATTTACGTGTCTAAATTATCTATCTATCTATCCCAAAGGATAAGCTTCCTAAAGGAAATATATACAGTTTAAGAAAATTTTAATTTCCACTTCTTACCTTTCTTGCTACATCTCGTGAGAAGTAACTATAAGGAACAAATTTAAGATTGCACTTATCTCCTGTCTTGTGGTTCACAATGTCAATTTCGCCAGACTGTAAAATACAAAGAATAATAGAATAATTTCTTAAGGACTCCATGGCTTAAATATGTGTCAAGTCATACATTTAAATTCTTGACATTTTAACTATATGTTCTAGTACTCCCTCACTCAGGTTCAGGTCTTCTGAGTTGTGGGATCTCTCTACAACCTTGATATTCCAATTTGGAATCAATACCAAATGTTAGGTGGCAAAATTTGAGCTCGAGCATAAACACTGATAATCACGTAGAATTATCTTTCTACATCAACCGCTATCAGCATCCTCACTCTGTACTTAATCAGTGTAGGGAACTTTTGACACTCTATTACTTACATCCTCCTTCCTGGCTTAATTCCAAACCATACTATAATCAACTATCTTGATCCCCATACATCTGTGAGGGCTTTCCTCATTTCTCAAAGATTTCTCTTTTCTGAATTTGCCATAACCAATATCTGGGTGGCTGCTTGGTTGGCTTTGTTCCTGCTTTTGTGCGACACCCAAAGGTGTTCAGGGCTTACCTCTGTGCTTGGGGATCACTCCTGGCAGTGGATCTAACCAGGTCAGCTGCATTCTGGGCCAGTACTTTAACCCTTGAATTATATCTTGGGCCTTATAACCAATGTCTTAAGAGCAATTTGACAATTAAATATTATCTTAGCACTTCACTTACATTCTGTATATTGTTATATATTCTTTAACTTACAAGTACTATGTCGCTTATCTCCAATAATACAGTAACAGCTCATCCGATTTTGTATGCCCTAGTACCTAGCACTCTGTCTAGTAATAAGTATTTGATGAACACTGAAAGGATGGAGAATGGGTATCACTGTATCACTGTAATCCTGTTATTCATCGATTTCCTCGAGCAGGCACCAGTAACGTCTCCTTCGTCCTAGCCCTGAGATGAAGCTCTTTCAGGGTCAGGAGAATGACACCCATCATTGTTACTGGTTTTTGGAATACTGAATACGCCACGGGGAGTTTGTCAGACTTTGCCATGCAGCAGGATACTTTTGGTGAGGACAGTCAGGCGTGGAGGCAGGGGACTCTGCGCTGTTCTTTTCCAGGAGCTGGGTTTTATAGACTCTGTGTCTTGGCTATTGATGGGATTACACGGCACTGGGGGCAGTTGGTGGGTGTAAGGCCTACATGCTGGCAGAGTCTCTTGCCTCCGTGCCTGGCTGTCCTCACCGGAGCCCCTTGGAGGAGGGCGGGTTGAGTTTCCCTCCCCGCCCCGAGCAGAGCCCTGGCAGCTGAAGACCTCCGGTTCCAGCCACAGCCATGCTTAAGACCACTCTCCACACGTTCGAACGAGCCTCACGCATGAAGGAACCAGCAGAGGAACCCAGGTGTGTGGGACCCGGGGCTTAGATCTCCAAGTCTGCTTGGATCGGGACTGGGCCTCCTCCACCCAGATCCCCCATCTTCCAGCATACAGGAGAATAGGTGCCTTGTTTTATTATCTTCTTGTACCCAATGCAGTCCTACTAGAGAAGTTATTAAGCGTTATTACAAAGCCATTAATAAATAATAATTTATGGAGCAGAAACTCTGGGAAGTTGGAGGTTGGGTGACTGCTTGAGAAGTTCCTTAGGAAAAACTGATAAACCAGTAACAATAGTCTGCGTTAGTTCAGGTCCTAAAGATGACAAAAATACTTCAGAAGCATTTTTAGGATGTTTTGCTCACCTGATCTATCCATAACTTGCCCACAATAATGTTGTGCACTGTAGTGGTAACCTTTTTCCAAGTGTAGTGGTGCCCAGTTGCATGAAAAATACAGTGGATGCTACCTAGAAGCAGAGAGAGGTAGGCAAATTAAACAAAATATTACAAAAAGAAATGCTAGCTCAGAAATGACAGCAGTTGTTTCTATTAATACTGATATTCTATTCTACTGATATTTCACGTTACAAATAATAGTGGATTTAAAACCTTCTTAAGTCTTGGAAGCACTTATCCCAATGCAAAAATCCTAATCTTCAATTTAAAAAAAATGTGGAAAGAAGCACATACTGGTTGTCAGTTGTGGGTCTGGACCTACTGTTAGTAACAAGCTGACCTTAAGTAACTTAGGGACCTCAAGCAAACCTCCTATTTAAGAGTCTCAGTAGTTAAACAAAAGAAACAGAGTAGTGAATAGAATTGGCACTTAGAAATCAGAAGAAACTAGATTCAATCCTGTCTCTACCATTCACTAGATATGTGGTGCCATGCTGAGCAGTAAAGAATTGGTCGGGTCAAGGATGTGGGAGACCCAGGTATGAGAACCCCTGGGTATAATTCCTGATAATGCAAAAAGGAAAAAGAATTTATCACGTTTTTATTCATTGTGCCAGGGAGGAAACTTTCAAACTCTTAAATTCTCCCCTCTCCTTGCCCAAACTGACAATCCTCTGTTTGTTATTTGTGGGGAACCCGAGTTCACATGGTGGGTTCCTGAAGAGTTTTTACTAAGGGAAGACTCAGGATGAGGGCAGGCCCGGCCAGAGAGACCCATGCTGTAACTGGAGTTGGCACGCGGAGTTACCTGATATCAGCTGGCCCTCCCAACCACCTGGAAATGATACTCCCTTCCCTCTGGGGAAGAAAGAAGGCTTGGATATTTATTTCAATCAAGTATCAATGAGCCAACCAATTATGACCCACATAAGGAAATCCCAACAAAAGCTCTGGACAACAAAGCTTGGTGTAGACCCCAGATTAGCAAAAACATCAAAGTATCAGGAGCGTGATGTGCCCTGGTTCCATGGGCGGGCACCGGGCATGGAAGCGCTATGATCAGGACTCCAGACCTTGCCCACTGTCTCCTGATATGTTTTGGGTTTTCAAATTTGGGGGCCAAACCTGTTGATCCATCTCAGCCCCACCATTAACTCTTATGTATACTTCACACTATTTTCTTCAGTGAACTAACTGTATACAAAATTATGTATGCACTTATTTGGGGGCAGGGGGTGAGGGGCCACACCTGGCAGTGTTCAGGTTGTATTCCTGGCTCTGCACTCAGGGGTCACTCCTGGCAGGCTTGGGGGACCATCTGGGGTACCCTGGGCAAGTATCCTACCCGTTGTACTATCGCTCTGGCCCCTTGTGTTTATTCTTTTGTCTACTTAAGACAAGTAAACAAGTTAAATAAGGATAAAGAGGCTTTTGTTCACCTAAGTTTCTGGAATATAGTGATTCAACTTCTGTTGATACTTCAGCTTCAGATGCTATTGTTCTGTTTGTTGGAACTAATTAACACAAATTTAGTGACTTAAACTATATACTCTAGGTTCAGGAAGACAATTCAAAGGACTTGGAGCACATTCCTGGCATGCACAAGACCGTGAGTCTGATCCCCAGCAGCCCACGGCCCCCTGAACACTGCCAGACACAGCCTTGGAGGGACCCCAGCATCATTGGATGTGGCCCTGCTGGCCCCCAACAATGGGCCTAGCCTCAGGTCCACATGGCTGGGCCCAGTATCACAGGTGGCCCCCCTCCCCCAGGCACTCTAAACAATGTTTGGGAAGCCTTCCAATTTTGCCCAGAAAGGGCCAAGAATGTGGCTCACTGGTAAAGAAAATGCTTTGCATGCTTGAGACCGTGTTCAAATCCCAGCACTGCAAAGACAACAGTAACAAAACTATATAACTTATTTTCCTACAGTTCAGGAGTTTAAAATCAAGATATGAGTTTCTCTCCAAGAACTTTTTTGTTCTAGGCTACCTGCATTCTTTTTTTTTTTGGTGGTGGTGGTGGGGGGGGGGGGTGTCACACCCAGCAATGCACAGGGGTTACTCCTGGCTCTATACTCAGGAATTATTCCTGGCGGTGCTTGGGGGACCATATGGGATGCTGGGGATTGAACCCAGGTCAGCCACAAGCAAGGCAAGCGCCCAACCTACCAAATGAACTACCTCTACAGCCCCACCTGCATTATGACTTGTGGTTCAATCAAACCTTTTGCTTCTGTTATCAATGAGTGAGCCTCCAGCCTCCATCTTATAGAAAACCCTGTGATTATACTGCACTCAAAAAATAATTTAAAAAAATTCAGTATTACTGCCCTATTCTAAGATCCATAATCATTCCCACAGTTTCTTTCATTGTGTAAAGTGACATATACATAGGTCCCAGGGATTAATGTGGAAATATATCAGAGAAGGGCATTATTTAGCCAACTGTATCCCCATCTTACCAATGAAGACTCTAAGCTTAGAAACCTTAAGCAGTCTGCATAGCTAGTAAATGGGATGGCTGAAATTCAGAGTAAGATCTGAATGAACATCTGAACAGTCCCATACTACAACCCTAGATCCATCCTGATGATGTGATGATGTGCCTGTTGTTCTATAGCACACAGGAGGGTTCAAAAGCAAAGAATTCCCTATGGCCACCTTATTTTACATATAATATTTATGCTTTGAAAACTTGGTAGAACTTAAGTTTCTCCCCACTTGGGGAGTTCCTTTTCCTTTCTCTTCTACTTTCCAATAAACTTTCTACTTTCCAAAAAAAATGAAACTTGGTATAGGAGACTGAGAGATAGTATAATGGATAAGGTGCTTGCCTTGCATGCATATGACCCGGGTTCAATTCCAGGCACTCCAAATGGTCCCCCAATCCCCACCTGGAGGGTCCCTGAGCACAGAGCCAGGAGTATGCTCTGAGCAAAACCAGGTGTGCTCTCCCCCCCAAAAAAACAAACCCCCTCAAATATCTTGGTATAGGTTAAAGGTTTGAACTGAACCATTTAAAATGTATGGAAGTGAAGATAAGTCACTTCCAGAATAGTAGAATAAGGGCTTTCACAGATCTGCACCTTAATAAAACCAACTTGAGCACTAGCAAAAATGATTAGTCCTTTTAGGACTCGGGAAATTAACGAAAGGCTTGCAATAATCCAACAGTAATTGCTCAAGAAAAAAAAGAGCTGCATCCAGAAAGGAAGAAAGGAAGGGAAGAAGGGAGGAAGGGAGGAAGGGGAAGAAAGAAAGACAGAAAGAAAAACAGAAAAAAGGAAGAAAGAAAGAAAAAAAGAAAAAGAAAGAAAGAAAGAAAGAAAGAAAGAAAGAAAGAAAGAAAGAAACGAAAAGAAAGAGAGAGAGAAAGCAAGCAAGCAAACTTTGTGGTCTTTTCCCATATCTCTTTCCCCAACGTGGTAGAAGCCTTCAAAATCAGTAGTATTGCGATTTCAAAGCCATGAAAAAACAGCAAGCTGCCAAGTATGGAATCTTCCCAAATCCCATCTCCAAAGAACTGTCATATCTGACCTATCTTGTGGTTCCTTCTAAACTCTCATTCATAGGACTTTTTTTTTTTTCTGGAACAATCAGAAATATAATCAGTGGCAACTGTTAATAAGTAGCTTCGTAAGGTGGTGATAACAGCTGGAGCAGGTGAAGAATAAAAAATTAAGTTGAAGAAATAATGGCCAAATAATAATTCTCCAAATTTGATTGGAAACAAAACAAACTGTAATCTATATATCTGAATGAAGTCTATGTAGTACAAAATCAAAGAATCCAACCAATAAACATAATCAAACCACAGAAAGGAAAAAGGCAGCAAATCTTAAAAGCAGTAAGAGAATGTAACAAAAATAATCTTATTGAGGCATCCTCAATAAGAGGGCCAGAAACCAGGCAGACCAGTAGACAGTGGAATGCCAGATGCAATGAGACGAGAAAGGTCACTTAGGGACAGCTCAGGGTCACACCTGCCTCACAGGCATGAGCCTGAGTTCAAGTTCTGGCACTGGCCCACATGCCAAGGGCACTGCCAGCTTGGCAACACTGCCCTTGGTAATTCTCATTCCACAAAAAGAGAGGGTGACCTCTGGCAAGCACCACGACTAGGGAGTGTGGGACCCTGGTGAGCACTACAACCACAGGTGTGAAACCCCGAGGAAGTCCAGGGAATGTGTACAACTCTCAGCGAGCACCACAGCCAAGTGTGGAAACGCCTGGTCATCAGAACAACAAAGAAAGGAAGAAGGAGAAACAAACAAAAGTACTAACAGAAAAAAGATTGCCAAACCAATATTTTATATTCAGCAAAACTATCCATCACAAAGGAACTTAAGACATTCCCAGGGGGGCTGGAGAGATAGCACAGCGGGTAGGGCATTTGTCTTGCATGTGGCCAAACCCGGTTTGATTCCTAGCATCCCATATGGTCCCTTGAGAACAGCCAGGAGTGACCCTTTTGCATTGCTGGGTGTGACCCAAAAAGCAAAAAAAAAAAAGGGCTTATTATTTTTTTTTAAAAAGGCATTCTCAGGAAAAATAACACCTAAAAAAAAATTCATGTATGGATCTGACCATCAGGAAATCTTAAAGAATAATAATTAAAACTAAAGGGAATTCCTTGAGGCTGAAATAAAAGAATAGGCAGTAACAAACATATTGAGAAAAATACTGTAAAAATGTATTCTTTGCTTGCAACTCTTTCTCCCACATGATTATTTATTTATTTTTGTTATTTATTTTTTTTTGCTTTTTGGGTCACACCCAGCACAGGCGAGGCACAGGGGTTACTCCTGGCTCTGCACTCAGGAATCACCCCTGGTGGTGCTCAGGGGACCATATGGGATGCTGGGAATCGAACTTGGGTTGGCCGCGTGCAAGGCAAATGCCCTACTCGCTGTGCTATTGCTCCAGCCCCACACATGATTATTTTTAACTGCATAAAGCAAAAGTTATCAAGCTATGCTGATGGGATTATAATGAATAAATACGTAATTTATATGACAATAAAAGCACAAAGGAGGGGAAAAAAACTAGGTAGCAAAGTTTTTGAAAGCTATTAAAATTAAGTTAGTATTAATCCAAACTAGATTGTTAGAACTTAATTATAATAGGATAATAACTACAGGGCCAGAGACATAGTACAGCAGGTAGGGCGGCTACCTTGCATGTGGCTGACCCAGACCAACCCCCTGCATCCCCTAGGGTCCCTGAGCACTGCCAGGAGGAATTCCTGAGTGCAGAGCGAGGAGTAATCGGAGCATCATTGCTGGGTGTGACCCAAAAGCAAAAATAAATAAATAAGCCACTACAAAAGTACCTTTAAAAATACAGTCAAGAAATTAGAAAGGAAGCAAAGGGACCGGAGTGATAGTACTGTGGGTAGGGTGTTTGCCTTGCATGCAGCTGACCTGAGTTTGATTCCTGGTATCCCATATGGTTCCCCAAGCACCTCCAGGAGGAATTACTGAGTGCAGAGCCAGGAGTAACCCCTGAGCATCACTGGATGTGACCCAAAAAGTAAAAAAAAAAAAAAAAAAGGCAAAATAAAATGGCAACCTAGAAAAACACTTAAAAAAGGCAGCTCAGATAGAGAAGGGAGCAACAAATAAAGGGTGTTGGGAGGTTCTTCTCAGGATGGGAGATGCGTGATGAGAGTAGACTATAGACCTAACATGATTGCCACTCAATGCCTCTTTTGCAAACCACAGCACCCAAAAGGAGAGAGATAATAAAAGGGAATGCCCTGATACAGAGGTAGGGTGGGATGAGGGGGATGCGGGGGTGGGAGGGATACTGGGATCAGTGGTGGTGGAGAATGGGCACTGGTGGAGGGATGGGTATTCAATCATTGTATAACTGAAACCCAAGCACAAAAATTTGTAAGTCTACAACTGTACCTCATGATATTTCACTAATAAAAATTTAAGGAAAAAAATTCCTATAAATTGAAAAAAAACTTAATAAAATAGATGAAGAGAACATTTGACTACAGTGCCACTCAGAGGCAAGTTTAAGGCCCCTGGAATCTAGCAATGTGGCTGACACAGACACGGGCAGGCTGAATGGCTATTTCATTCATATTTTCAAACTGACTGGTTTAGGGTAGAAAATCCCAAAATTTCAAAATATTTAAGTATCTCTTGGAGCTGGAGAACGATACCAGGGGCTAAGGTGCATGGCCTGCATGAAGCTGGCCCATCTGACCCTTGGCACTATACCCTAAATGCTAATGGGTAAGCCCTGGAGGTCCCCCAAGCACAGCCATTTGCTCAGAATCAATTGGGTGGGGTCCCTTGGCTCCCTGCTTTGGAGCTCCCCCTACCCACCCCACAAAAAGGTTATTTCTTTAGACTTCCTACTTCCAATACCCTGAAACCTAAAGAGAAGAAATTTTATTTATCCTCTGGCAGAGTTTTCATTACTTGTCAAATTTCTATCGCACTTTCTGGATGCATTCTCCCAAACTTTAGTGTATTTTACAGGGACATTCAGAGTCTAGTCACCATCTCCAAACAAGCATAGAACTGTTTTATCATTCACATTCCTATCTGTAAATTTTCTTTAATGATATAAATTGGGGCTGGAGCAATAGCACAGTGGTAGGGTGTTTGCCATGCGCGCAGCCAGCCCAGACGAGCCGGGTTCGATTCCTCCGCCCCTCTTGGAGAGCCTGGCAAGCTACTGAGAGTATCTCGCCCGCACGGCAAAGCCTGGCAAGCTACCCGTGACGTATTCAATATGCCAAACACAGTAACAAGTCTCAAAATGGAGACGTTACTGGGCCAGCGCAAATCGATGAACAATGGGAGGGCAGTGACAGTGACAGATATAAATTGGTTTAATAACTTACTCTCTGAAAGTTGATTTCCAGTGCAAATGTAAAAATTTTCACTACATGAGTTTCCTTCCAAGTTACTGATCCAAAAATATTAAGCACAGTCATCTAATGGCCACTGTTTAGAAATTCAGTAGGGCGTTTGCCTTGCATGCGGCCGACCTCACTGACCCAGGTCAATTCCTCCGCCCCTCTTGGAGAGCCCGGCAAGCTACTGAGAGTATCTCGCCCGCATGGCAAAGCCTGGCAAGCTACCCATGACGTATTCGATATGTCAAACACAGTAACAGCATGTCTCACAATGGAGACGTTACTGGGCCCGCTCGTGCAAATCGATAAACAACGGGAGGACAGTGGATACTTTTAATTCTGCTTCTTATTGTTATGTGAACTTCCTGTTTGATCTCCAGACACATGGGATCTTTCTTTTTCCAACTTCTTAAAAATGTGACTCGGGGAACAGATACAGATCATTTATACTCCTTAAAATTTTTTTTAAAAAAGGGGCTGGAGAGGTAGTATAGTGGGTAGGGCAGTGCTTGCCTTGCACACAGCTGACCCAGGTTCAATTCCCTGCATCCCATATGGTCCCCCAAGCACCACCAGGGTGACACCTGAGCACAGAACCAGGAGTAAGCCCTGACCATTACCAGGTGTAGCCCACAAATGAAAAACAAATGAACAAAAAAAATCATGGCCTCTTAAAATATATTGCTGGCAATAATATCAATTATGTAAGTACTTTTGGAAAGTAAGATGGCAATGCACAGTAACCAAAGCATCTTCCATATCCTTTATTCCTTCTGCTTCTAGAAATCTAGATCCATCACTTTTTATCTTATTCATATAACTATTTCCCCCTCAAAGAAGTCTAGATTAGGTCCAATTACAGAGAAATGCATAGAACTGTTAAGTTAAATTTGTTTTTTTGGTTTATCTTTTTTGGTTTTTTTTTTTGGCTTTTTGAGGTAACATTAGACAATGCACAGGGGTTACCCCTGGCTCAAAATTTGTTATCTTTTAAATGTATATAACCTTCCCTAGAACTAAGTATGATCCATGGAGATCTCCTGGGGGCCTAGATATTTACTACTCTTAACATTTCTGAAATTACCAGTTTCAGAGATGCTGCATTTTGAAGCCCTTTTATAAATATTTTCCTTGAATAAAAGATGTAGAGCAAAATCATTTAGTCTCTTTTCCAGCTAAGGATCTTTACACATACTAACAAGTGAGTGACAGAGTTAATAATTGTTTTTTTTTTTAACAACTTGCAAACATCCCTAGGGGTTTATTTGGCTAATTTTTGTCTGCACTTTATATGATACACTGTGGTTTTTTTGTTTTCGTTTTTTTTGATACACTGTGTTTTAAAGAAAAAGGGAATTTATTAAAAAGACTACACTGTAATAACCAAGAAGGGCAACTTTACCTCTAGAATGACTAAAACCAGGAAATGGAGCGGCTACAGGAGCTCAGGGAGCTATTGTATTGTCGTCTCTATCTCTAGGAAGCCCTGGTTTCTCTCAGTGTGCTTTGTGCTTCTGTAACCCACTATACACACATGGCCAACTGTGGCTGACTCTAGTTCAAGCACATGGGACAATAAAGTCGACTTTTTGAATAAACTCAGTTCCCCTACTGTATAGATTTTCTTTCTTTTTTCTTTTTTTTGGGCGGGGGGGGGGGGGATCACATCCAGTCATGCTCAGTGGTTATTCCTGGCTCTGCACTCAGGAATTCCTTCTGGCAATGCTCCTGGGTTGCTGGGGATTGAACTCGGGTTTGCCACATGCAAGGTAAACACCCTACCCGCTGTACTATCGCTAGGGCCCCCAGTATAGATTTTCTAATACTGCATATTAATATTTCTATTCCTAGGCATGATCATCCTGGTCCTGATCAAAATTAATTTTTAATCCACTGGGATCTTTAAAACAGTTTCAGCTAACCCAGAAGTCAGTCATTAATGTTATCTAACCTGCAGCATTAATGTTATCTAACCTGCTGGGGGAGGGAGAAGGAGAGAGGGAGAGACAGAGAGGGGGATGGGGGGGGAGGAGAGAGAGGGAGAGAGGGAGAGAGAGAGCACGAGAGAGCGAGCGAGAGAGCGAGCGAGCGAGAGAGAAAGAGAGAGAGAGTTCTCAAAGAAGAAGAGAAAAGGTAGCTAAGGAACCTAATATAAGACTTCTGATTTATTAGAGGCCTGACTGCAAGAATAATTGAGGAAATCAACTAAGGGAAAGGTTTTGAAAAATGAACATTAGACGTTACATTCTAAAGCGGTATTTAAAGATGCATTAAATACTGCTATGACAAAGAAAGTATGACTAGATAGGTCCTTCAAGTGTCTTGTGCCTCCTCAACTAATTTAAGAGCTGAGAAGTAAAACGACCTGCCCAGGTCTAGTTAAGTTTCAGTGCCTGAGCCAGATCTCTCCTTTCCTTACTCCCAAACCAACGGCTGCTGTCACAGCAGAAAATCTTTCATCCTGGTGCACTAATTCTTATCATTATGGAGCCTTACCGAGGGGCATAATGGAGAGGTATTTGCCTCTGAATTTGCTGGTGATTTTGATCTCCTGACGCAACGTCCAACCGTTTTTGGACTCAGCATGGTGTGCGGCAGCAGGGGGATGATGACTCACCTTGAAGAAATCATGGGTTCAAATTAAGAAGGAAGAAAAAACTGCCTCAACTGTCAGTTGAGACAAACAACCCACACTCACACTTGACACTGTTACACCCCCAGCTGTAGATGGAGGTACTGGGGCGTCCAGTGTGGCGAGTCCCGCGAGGAAGGAAAAGAAGGCCGGGTAGGATGGCAGGGATGGGAGCACTGGGGAAGATGGACCAGAAACTAGATGGAGCCCAGCTTCAAAGCTCCTTTACCTGCTCACAGAGGGATCGGTATCCATTCTCCTCTAATCGGTCCAGCTCAAAGGTCTCCCCAAGGAGTGGGTTGAATGGCTTGCTGGTACGGAAGACGGTTGTGGAGTAAGAGGACACGGTGAAAGCTGCAACATAACAGAGCTGTTCTAAAGAGTTCTCACATTTTGCAGCTCGATCTAATAGCTCGTGGTATTCCAGATCTTCAGTAAGGCGCTGAAGCATGGATAAGGGTTCATTAAAGTTCACCTGTCAGGGAAAAGAACAGAAATGAAAACTATTCCCACACATCTATAAGAGAAAGCTTAAATTTCTTTTCTTTTCTTTTTTTTTTTTTGCATTTGAGAAACGGATACTGAAAAGATGTCAAGACAATAAAGCACTGGGAAGAAAAGTCTTTGCTCAATAGTGGAATCCTAAGATCTAATCTGCAAACATCCCATTCTCCATGGTCAACTGTTTATATGTGTGAATGGTAAAAATCACACATTTCTTTTATTTCACTAAATGTTAGCTCTCTGGGCTGGAGCGACAGCACAGCAGTAGGGCGTTTGCCTTGCTCGCAGCCAGCCCGGACAAGCCGGGTTCGATTCTTCCGCCCCTCTCAGAGAGCCCGGCAAGCTACCGAGAGTATCACCCACATGGCAAAGCCTGGAAAGCTCCCCGTGACGTATTTGATATGCCAAACACAGTAACAATGAGTCTCACAATGGAGACATTACTGGGCCCACTCAAGCAACTCGATGAACAACGGGAGGACAGTGCTACAGAGCTACAGTAAGCTCTCTGAGATGGGAACCATACCTCTCCTGTTCTCAACTGCATATCCAAGGGCTACTGATACCTCACCCATAGGAAATCATCATCAGGTATTGAATGAATAGAAGAGGAAATATATTTTAGCACTGTGTATACCCAGAGAGGAAGTTAAATACTTAATATTCTTTTTTTTTTTTTTTTTTGCTTTTTGGGTCACACCCAGTGATGCACAGGGGTCATTCCTGGCTCTGCACTCAGGAATTACCCCTGGAAGTGCTCAGGGGACCATATGGGATGCTGGGAATCGAACCCAGGTTGGCCGCGTGCAAGGCAAACGCCCTACCTGCTGTGCTATTGCTCCAGCCCCTAAATACTTAATATTCTTGGGGAAGGCCGAGAGATATTACCGTGGATAGGGCTCTTGCCTTGCACGTGACTGACCCAAGTTCAATACCAGCACCACATATAGTCCCCCAGACCCAATCAGGAGTGATTTGTGAGTGCAGAGAGAGGAATAAACCCTGAGCATTGCCAGGTGTGGCCCCAAAACAAAACAAAAATTCTTCAAGAAAGAGTAGTAAATTATAAGTAGTAGCAATTACTGACCAGATTACATTACAGAAAAGGTTTCATTTTAAATGTCTGCTTCTACCGTGAACCAGAAGATTGCTAAGTCTCAATTCACTTCTCCATTAAAAGGGCAGAATCTGGTTTCTTCAATGAGGTTAAGAGACTTGTGTTTCTCGGCCTGGAGTATTTGTTGTGGTGGTTGTGAGTATTTCTTCATTTCCTAATGTAGGGTCCACTAAGGACACTCAACCACTGGATGAAGCAAATGTGTGTCTGTGTGCTTCTGAGAGATGCTTCTCTTTCATTTATTCACTCCAAAAATATTCAATAAGCTCCCATGTTTACCAGATTCTATGCTACTCAAGGAATACTAGAAACTGAATAAGAGACACTTTCCCTGCTCCTCTGCTCCCACAAAAGATTTAGCTTTAAAATGGACTATTTAGATTACCTGGAAATTAAGAGAGCTTTACTACTTTAAAAAAAAAAATGACTAAACAAATGGATTAGCTTCCCAAGTAGCCCATAAAGCCTATTTAATCAGCAATGTACCCGAACAAATCTGAATATCAGTAGCCTAAGTTCCCAGTCCAGAGAACACAAGGAGAAGAAAAACATATTTTCATTGAACAGAGCTGGCCTAAGGAGCAGCCAATTAAAATTACAAGCAAAACCAACATTTTTCTTTCTTGTAGTCCTAACTCTTTTTCCTTAATTTGGTCCAATCTCTTTTTATTTTATTTTAGGCTGTTTGGGTCATGCCTGGTGATGTTCAAGGGTTATCCTGACTTCACGTCACATCAAGGGTTACTCCTTAATTCCTGAGTGCATAAGTCAGGAGTAACCCCTGTGTATTGCCAGGTGTGACTCAAAAAGAAAAAAAAAAAGCTCCTGGCTCTGCACTCAGGAATTACTCCTGGAGGTGATCACTCAGTCCCTTGGTCCAATCTCTTGCCTGCCAATCTCTGACTCCCATAACTACCCTAATATATACTGCACTCCAAATTATAAAATATAATTTCACTGTAACAAATTTTGAAAAAAAAAGTATAAAGGAAAATTTTACTTGACATGCCATCACCTAAAGACAACCATTATTAATATCTGATACTTGTGTCTATGCATTTATACATTTAAACATCTAAATATATATGTAAAAGCACACACCAGAACCTGTGTTTTTCTGAGAAATATGGTAAACATTTCTCTGTGAAGAGTTCCCAATGAAATCAGTGCCACAGAGACAAAATGAGAGCACTCTAGAGCGCTCTTCTGGAAAGTAGGATCTACCCTGCCTCAGCTAAAACAGTGCCACACTCCCCAAACCATCTTTCTGGCACTGAGACAGGCAGTTTAAGAAAAATGCACACTGTGGGGCCATGGACTGACAAACCCAAAAAGTACTGGTGTTTTGGTTTCTTTTCAATAAGACTCTTTTAAAGAGTCATTTCTATTTTAAGTCAACAGGAAGCAACATTTTCATACATTCTGAGGAAAATTGGGGATGGTGGAATCTTCCATTGGTGACTATAAAACATATCCTCATTACCTGGGGCTAGAATCAGGGCATCCTTAAGTTATTATTACACACACACACATTCATATTCCCTCCCTCCCTCCACACACACATTCATATTCCCTCCCTCCCTCCTGCCATCTCTGTCTGTCTCTGTCTTTCTCTCTCCCTCTCTCTCTTAAAAACCTACACCAATAACCTCAGGAAACATAAATTTCTCTGAAAGCCGGAAACCACAATTAGTAGGCTGGAGGGGCAAAGACAGCGTCACTGCAGTCAGAGGCTGAAGGAGTTGGCAGAAGCAAAAATCTGGGGAGGTGAGTACCCTTTGATCTTCTTCCTTCTCTCCCCCTGCCACGCAGGTTTCAAACTCCTCCTGGAGCCTTGCACTGATGGAGCCTGGCCAGGTGTCCGCAGCCAGGGAAGCTGGAGAAACCCCGCCTACAAGGATCAGCTTTACCCGTGGCACTGCACACAGCAGGGTAAGGGCAAGTGCTGCAGGCAAACAGGTAGAGGGTTGCACATTCCTAATGGTAATGTCAACAAGGAACTAATAGTGGAGGAGGTCAGAAGGGTCACCCGGATTCAGAAGCTATTGTAAACAGCTTATATCACTTATGTTTCTTAGGCTTCTAACCCATCTTCCCACCGCTTCCAGCAAGGCACAAGGCAAGGGAGGGTTCTTTACAACCACCACCCTCACTTCCATGAACCCATTATTTTATGGTTTTTTTTTTTCCAGTTCTGCTGGCTAAAAGCTTTTTCTTATCTTGAAGTCAACATTTTCTATACATTTAGGTGTAAAGCTATTTATTTTCCAGGACTTAGTTAATGAATCACTTTTATGCTTGCTGAACAGTATATACGTGCCAGATACTGGCTAAACACCAAGGATATAAAGAGCAGTAAGGTGACTCTGTTCATGAGGAAGGTGGTATATGTTGGGAAAAATCTACATTCCGGGGGCCAGTGGCAGTACAATGGGTAGGGTACTTGACTGGCATGCAGCTGACCTGGGGTTAATTCCCAGCACCCCATTTGGTCCCCTGAGTCTGCCAGGAGAGGTCCCTGAGGGAAGATCCAGGAGTAAGCAAGCCCTGAGCGCTACCATGTGTGGCCCCAAAACAAAACAAAGCAAAAATTTTTTAAAGAAAACTATATTCAGATCCAGAAGACTCAACAGGGGAGAGCAATGCTTTCTGTACTTCTAGGCCAATTCCTTGGCTGTGGATAGAAGCTGCAAGCCCTTCCCCAGACCCATTTATAAGTAGTAGTAGAATCCTAAAGGTAAAGGTAAAGGCCCTCCCGTTGATCGTCGATTTGCTCGAGCGGGCCCAGTAACGTCTCCATTGGAGACTTTGTTGTTACTGTGTTTGGCATAAGCGATAGCACAGCGGTAGGGCGTTCGCCTTACAAGCAGCCAACATGGCCGACCCGAGTTCGATTCCTCCGCCCCTCTCGGAGAGCCTGGCAAGCTACCGAGAGTATTCGATATGCCAAACACAGTAGAATCCTAATTTTTTTTTTTTTTTTTTTTTTTTGCTTTTTGGGTCACACCTGGCGATGCACAGGGGTTACTGCTGGTTCTGCACTCAGGAATTACCCCTGGCAGTACTCAGGGGAACATATGGGATGTTGGGAATTGAACCCGGGTCGGCTGCATGCAAGGCAAATGCCCTACCTGCTGTGCTATTGCTCCAGCCCCAAGATTCCTAATTTTTAACTAGGCCATACCAACCAGTCACCTCTCTAGCTAGCCATGGCCATATTCAAGAAGTCAAACGATGCCTCGCATATGAAAGTTGCACACTGGACCACTGAGTCACATCCCAAGCCCTGGGAGGCACTATAAAAGGTGCAACATGTCTTTCTTCTCTTTCCTCCCTCCTGCTGACCAGGAAGACATTCTGACAGGCCACCTGAAGCAGCCACTTTGGATCTAGTAATTAAGGCTGTCGGCAGTAAAGCCACAGGCCAGAAGAGCATGGTCCTGACACTACAGGGTCCTGTCCCGGCCTCACAACACTGACTCCTGGACTTCAACATGACAGTGTGCTGAGCTACTATCTGTCTGAGGCAGAGAACGGCTTGCATTTTCTGGAGGCTGGATAGCAAATATTCCGATCTTGAGGGCTGTATGGCTCTGACACAGTTACAACACTGCTGCTGTAGGATGAGAGCAGCCAGACAAGTGCGTGAAGGCCTCACAGAGTGCCAATAAAGCTTTATAGACACCAGCATCTAAGTTTCATGACACCAAAACCCAAAAACAAATGAAAAAGTGAATGAAATAAAATGTGAAAACAAAAAACTAGTCTGCTTGTTGGTTATACAAAAAAGCAGCCAGATCTGGTCTTAGGCCCATGGTTTACTCACCCCTAGTGTTGTGTGTGTGTGTGTTTGTGTGTGTGTATGTGTGTTGGGCCATACTTAGTGGTGTTAAGGGGCTATTCCTTACTGTATACTCAGAAGTGCTTAGGGGATTAGGGTAGCCACATACAAGGCAAGCATCTTGATTCCTATACTATCTCTTCAGCCCTAAACCACGGCCTTAGTTTCTTCAATTTAAAGAAACAATTAAATATAGGATGCTTGCCCTATATGTGACTGACCTCAAAGGGCTGGGATTTATGCTTTGCATGCTAGAGGCCTGTATTCAATCCCTGACATTACAAATTCCCTGAGTACCAATGGGAGTGATCCTTGAGCATGGAGCTTGGAATAGCCTCTGAGCATCTCTGGATTATACGTCCCAAAAAACTTTAGAGAAATAAAACCTATAGCTAATTGATTTACAGTACAACAGGCAAGGCAGAAAAATGCTTCTGGAATGAATAAGCAAATAGCTGTCAATACTCAGGCAGAAACAAGGGAACTTATTGCAACATTTGAGTGAGACTTCTCACCCTGATCAAATGTTTTCTAAGAGATGACAATGTAACTGAATCCTGAATAAAAAAAGTAAGTCGCATGGCAAAAATAATTGTGGTAGGGTGGGTGAAATGATGACATTTCAGGCAGAAAAATCAGTCTCCACAAATGTTCCTCAGAGCAAAGACAGTAAGACACCGCTGAATACTTGAAGGTGGATGCCAATGACTAGAACACAGGCTATGTGTGGGCAGAGCAGGTCTACAGGGAAGCATCATCAAGCTCCCTTGGGAATCCGGACCACTCCCAAAGTAGTAAGGATGCAGTCATGGTCTGGAAACGAGGGAGTTTTGATTTTATTATTATTTTGGGGGAGAAGATCACACCTGACAACGCTTGGGGAACCATAAGGCACCGGGGATGGAACACAGGGCTGCTCTTCAGTCATATCCCGAACCCCCTACTCTTTTCATTTTACTATTTTAACTAAATTGTTATTGTTGCCGCTTTAAAGTTTTTAGTCTAGGAGCCAGAGAGATAGTACAGCAAGGTAGGGCACTTGCTTTGCACGCAGCCAACCCGGGTTCGATCCCCGGCACCCCATATGGTCCCCCTGCACTGTCAGGAGTAATTACTGAGTGAAAAACAAGTATTAACTCCTGAGCTTTACTGGATGTGGCCCCCAAGCCCAAAAAATGTAAAAATAAAAACTTTTTTTAGTCTATACCCTATGGTATTCAGGGTTTACTCCTAATTCTGTGCTGAGGGATCATACTTGGTAGTGTTCAGAGAAACAATATGCAGTGATGGGGGTCAAACCCCAGTCTACTGCATGCAAGGCAAGCTCCGTACCCGCTGTACTATCTCTCCCACCTCAACTGTCACTGTCACTGTCCTCCAATTGTTCATCGATTTTGCTCGAGCGGGCCCAGTAACATGGTGAGACTACTTGTTACCGTGTTTGGCATATCAAATCCATCACGGGTAGCTTGCCAGGCTTTGCCGTGCAGGTGAGATACTCTCAGTAGCTTGCCGGGCTCTATGAGAGGGGCGGAGGAATAGAACTCGGGTCAACTGGGTCGGCCGCGTGCAAGGCAAATGCCCTACCTGTTGTGCTATCGCTCCTACCTCAACAAATTTCATTTTTTGATTTGCAACCAGAGCAATCAGTGTTAGGGGCTTAAGGTACCATATGGTGTGCTGGGGATGATCCCAGGTTAATTAGATACAAGGCAACCCATTGTACTAACTTCCCAGCCCAATTTTTAAATAATGGCAGCTTTTTATCATATGAAGATTTCTTATCACCAACATTCTCAAACAAAAGCTTTTTATTTTATTGAAGATACCATAAAACAATAGGATCAAGCAATAAACTGATGATCAAGTGAGTTTAAAACAAATAATTTAGGGCCAGATTCGGTATATGACTTAGTGATTTATGATTTACACAAATGACTTAGTGTACGTGGGTAGGATGCTTGCCTTGCATGGGTCCAACCCAGGTTCAATCCCCAGAGCCACATATGAAATCACCAAGCCCTTCAGGAGTGATTCCTGAGCACAGAGCCCGGAGTCAGCCCTGATATCACTGGGTGTGACCCAAAAACAAAACAAACAAAAAGATGACTTTGGCGACAGAGTGGAGAGATCAGAAGACAGTGTGACTAGAGTTAGGAGCAGAGAGTTCAGCCCTGATGCTATCATCACCAGGAAGGTCCTGATTTGGTTGCCATGAACTGTGTTTGTATCCCTCCCTTTAAAACGACATGCTTCTTGGGCCAGAAAGATAGAATGAAAGTTTAAAGTGCTTGCTTTGCACGTGGCAGACCCTGGCTTGATGCCTGGTTTCCCGAGCATCACTGGGAATAGCCTCCAGATTACAGAATGGGGAGTAGCTCCCGAGCCCCACGAAGTACGACCCAAATGCCAAAATATAAAAACTGCTTTTAAATGCACCTTGAAAAACAGAAAATCTGCTATGCTTATCTTTTAATGCCCCTAGCACATCTGAATTTGCTGTTATTGGAGGCCAGAGACATAGCACAGTAATTTACACAGTTCATTTTCTAAGGGATAGTTACGACCCTGGGCTGGAGTGATAGCACAGCGGTAGGGTGTTTGCCTTGCACGCAGCCAACATGGCCAACCCGAGTTCGATTCCTCCGTCCCTCTCAGAGAGCCCGGCAAGCTACCGAGAGTATCTCGCCCGCACGGCAGAGCCTAGCAAGCTCCCCGTGACGTATTCGATATGCCAAACACAGTAACAACAAAGTCTCCAATGGAGACGTTACTGGGCCTGCTCGAGCAAATCGATGAACAACGGGAGGGCCTTTTTTACCTTTTAGTTACGACCCGAAGGGTAACAAATACCATGCCACAAACTGCCACAAAAGTGAGAGGAGCTGACACAGCAACCCTCTTCCCACTGAGCCCAGAGTCCCTCGGAGGAGGAGCCCGAGTGGGAGTGCAAGAACCTCACCGGCATGGGGATCTTCGAGAGTTCCTTCCCAATGCAGTTCTTCATGATGCTCCATAAATTGAGGCTATAGTTTGGCTTGTATGGTATTCTAGTTCTTTTTTCCTTCTTGGTCTCTTCCAGCTGGTGCTTGTACTAGGAATGCAAACAAAGGCAGTCAATCACCCACAAAGAACAGAAAACCCTGTATTTATAGCCTTCCCTTCCCCCACACTAAAGAGAAATCAGCGCTTTAGATGAAAGCCCTTGGGAGTCAGACCCCAAGTCCCCGATTCCTGGTACACCCAAATAAAAAGTACCTGGTCATCAAGACTGATGTCACTGCTGGCTCCACTGATATTGCTGCCAGTACGTCTGCATGGGTGAGAAACATGAGCATTAGAGCCATAGTCTGGTCTTCATGGTGTCTTTACAATGCACAAGATAAAGCATACTATCCATGCATATTGTTGGCAAACTGAATGACAACACTTAGAATATGTATGGATTTAAACGTCCCAGAGGAGCTAGTTCTTGGAAAACAGTAGTCTTCCACCTAATTGAAAGAACCCAAACCTTGGTAAATGTGATGCTCCCACTGAAATTTCTAACCGCTTAACAGATATGTGCATTTTTCCTCCGGCATCAAGGATAAAAACTTACTTGTGGCCCAAATTTTCAGGCATGGTGATGATCTCAGGAGCATCAAAAAATTCATTCTCATCGTCCTCATCACTCATGTCGCCTTTGCCAGAGCAGCACTGATCTACAAGGAGAAAAGCCCCATTCATTTACTTTGGCTGTGTTTACCAAAGCCTGGCACAGCAGGATCTTTTAAAGACAAACCGCAAACACAGCAACAAATGGTAGAAAGCAGGAGAAAAGCCAGAAGAAATAAACAGCTCCCATTTCATTTCACATGAATCATTGATTCTGGAGCATTTGCAGTCCCGCTATTAATTGCAGAAAACCTCCTCTCTCAAGTCCGAATAGGCTCTCCAAGAACTAAGTCCTTTACCTTTACCAGAACCAGTGCTGCCGGGAGTGTTCGCAGGCAGCACGGTGGCCCCGCGGAAGGCCCGCTCCAGGTGATTATGCTGCTTCGCCAGCTGCTCGAGGGTTTCTTCCAGTCGGATCCGCTGGTCTCTTTCATACTGGAGTGACTTCTGCCATTTTTTACTATGGGTCTGAGCTAACATGAGGAAATCTCTGCAGGCCTGGAGGGAGAAAGGGTTAGACTGTGTCACAACAAGGCCAGGAGACAAGATTTCCCCGCCTCAGGCCTCTTGATGTAGTCTTATCCCCCCGAGGCCTCTCGAAGCAGCCTTATTCCAGAAACTTTAACTAGCAAGTGACAATGAAACACTTTCCCTGTTATCCCACAGTATCAGGGACAACCAGTTCTGCGGTGCAAACGAGGTCAAACACACATTAAAAAAAAAAAAAATTAAACACTGCTTTCGGTGCTTTCCTACTTTTCTAGGCGTGGGTAGCAAACAAATGTCAGGGGAGGAGTATACCTCCCATGTCGCGTTAGTAACATCGCAAGGTATAGGTGTATGTACCACACCGAAAGAAGAATCTCAGCAGGACCAAAGTGATGGGAGGACACAGGATAACTACTTCTAATAAATTCTGAAATGAAAGTCACCTAAAGTTTAGGAATTCAGATACTGAGAACCAAGAATGTGTACTAAATTATTCCCAACATGGAGAAACTAAATTTGTCTTATTTTTATTTTTATTTTTTTTTGGTCACTAAGACAAACAACTGACCTTAAAATTAGAAGCTGAGCAATTCTACTTCTTGGCCTCTACTCCCACCCCTAAACTCGACAGAATTCGCTTGAAAAGGCGCATGCACATGTGGGCTCACTGCAGCATTCAGTACAAAAGCCAGAATATAAAAACGACCCAAATGTCTGACCATAGATGAACGGGAGGAAAGTTGTGAGAAACATACACAACGGAATATTATGCAGTCACAAGGAAAGATGAAATCAGGTCGTTTTCTATAAAAGAGGGCAAATACCAGATGATCCACTCGTCTGCTATAAGCAGAGAAACAAGGCAAGATAAGAGAAGATATCAAATCTTGGACCTGGACTATAGAACCGAGAAAGCCATGTACAGAGAAAGGGTAGGAGAACAGAGAGGTGGAGAAAATGTAAGAAACTCTGTGGAGGAGCTGAAGCGATAGATAAGAGAGCTGGTAGGGCATTGGCCTTGCACGAGGTCGACCCAGATTCAATCCCAGCATCCCATATGGTTCCCCAAGCACCATCAGGAGTAATTCCTGAGTGCAGAGCCAGGAGTAACCCCTGAGCATCACCAGGTGTGACCTAAAAAGCCAAAGGAAAAAGAAAGAAAATGTGGAGGGCAGGAGAGATACTACAGTGCCTTGCATGCAGCCAGCCTGGGTTCAATCCCCAGCACTCCATATATAGCGCCCGAAGCCTCACCAGGAGTAAACCCTGAGCCATACCGGGTGTGGCCCAAAATCACAAAAGCCTAGAGGGTGGTTTGGTGGTGGTGAGGATAGGTGACTGTGAACATTAAAGACTCAAGCCTTATAAGCATGTGACTCAATAAAAAAATTTCAAAATGTTTGCCAAGGGAGTGAGTAGGGTGGGAAGGAACCTTGAGATACTGATAAAGGAAACTGACACTCCGGTAGCTGGTATAGTAATCAAACAGTTTGTTTGAAACTCTACTGTTAAACAGTATTTTAAGTCACAGTGCCTAAATAAATTGGAAAAAGAAGAAATAAAATGAGAAACCCAGGGCTGGAGAGAGGGTACAGATGTGAAGGTGCTTGCCTTGCAGGCGGCTGACCCTGATTAGCTTCACAGCACTGCATGGTCCCCTGAGCACTGCCAGGAGTGAACCCTGAGCACAGAGCCAGCTGCTTGGCTCAAAGCCTCTCCCTCTGAAACAAGCAGATGCCTATCTGAAGAGTCAAAAAAGGGATCTTCAGGAACTAGGGATGAAGCTCCTGTTTTGCAAGCATTAGACCTGGGCGCAATCTCAGCACTGCAAAATAAATCAAAAAAGGGGATCTTTGGGGAAGATAGGGGTGGTAGGTCAGGGATGTGGCTTTGGTAGTAGAGCGCATGACTGGCATGTGCAAGGCCCTTGGTTTAGGTCTCCAGCAGAGCATGGCACCCTGCAAGCAATTTTTTGCTGCATCACAACCAGGTCTGTGTAAGAACCACACTAAAAAGATGTGTGAGCAGTAAAGGTGAAGAAGTGTGACCTCTGGTAAGTGCCTCTGTAAGCACCATAATCAGGTCTTGTGTGCGTCAACAGAGAGGATGAATCCGAGTGAGCACGCACAAGCACCACAACTCAAAGAGTGCAAACACTGGTGAACACTGAGACCAAGAGTGTGAGCACTGAACCTGGTACACAATCCCGGACAAACACCACAGCTAAATATGTGTGAGCTGGGGCTGGAGCATGTAAGGTTCTTGTCTCACATGCAGATGACTCAGGTCCCATCCCCCATAAACATACCACAAATAGTCCCCTGAGCACAATCAGGAATGCATCCCGAGAACCACCAGGTGTGACCCCAAAACAAAGCAAACCAAAATAATTGGTGAATAGTACAGTATGTGCAAACCATGTCATAGCAGCAACGATGGGAGGTGGGAGATGGGAGGGGAAACTAAAAACAAATTGGGAAAAGCGTATTTTGAGATAAAATGTAAATCTGATCAGATCAGTCTTCTCTGGCACCTCAATGACAGAACCAAATCCTAACTACTAATTACAAATACAGACCTCCCCTCCCAGGAAGGGCTATGACTACAGACCCCTCCCAGGAAGGGCTATGGCTACAGACCACTCCCAGGAAGGACTATGGCTACAGACCCCTCCCAGGAAGGACTATGGCTACAGACCCCTCCCAGGAAGGGCTATGGATACAGACCCCCTCCCAGGAGGGCTATGGATACAGAAGCCTCCCAGGAAGGGCACCTTCTCTCCAGGTAGCTGTACCTGTCTATCCCTGTACTCACTCTATGGTGGAGCCACACTGAATTGCTTACGTTTTCTTGGACACACAGATCTCTTCCAGGCCTGCCCACTGCTCCATATTCTATTTGTTATGCCTAGAATTCCCTCCTTTCTCTGCCAGGAGTAAGCCCTGAGCACAACCTGATGTGGTAAAAAAAAAATCAACCAGTCAACCAACCAAACAAACAAAAAATATAAATATACACATATTGAAGATTTGTGGCAAATGTTTGTTCTGTGACCCTTTCCCCTCAGTTTGAAAAGTAGCCAGTCTCTTCTCTCCATTCCCATATCACCTTGTATATACTTCTGATTCATACCATCTACATAGTGTGTGACTAAGCTTCTGTCTCTCCAGATGGATTATAAACAACTTAAAGACACAGTTTATAGCTTATTGGTGCATATAATCAAGATCTTAACTTGGGTGTTTTGTACATAATAGAAGCCTGAAAAATCTCTGCTCAATAGACTTAAAAGTCTATGCCCTGTTACAGACAAACTAAAATAGAGCAGAATACATCCTCTTATGGTTTCTCTTTTTCAGTGAGAGACAAGCCTAGGGCCTCACACATGCAGGGCAAGTGCTCTACCACTTGGCTACCTTACCAGTTTGGTCTCAACTCTAATCTATAAAAGTATAACTACTAAATTGGTAATTCTAGTCCTGTAACTTCAGACTGAAGTTATTCAACTCTCTATCCAATGGCACTAAGTAATCTCAAGACCTGTGAGTTCCAAAATTAACTCACCATCTTTCCTTTCTTCTTCTCCCTGAAGTGTTCCCATCTTAAAAACAGTTCCAGGGCCCTTCTACCTACCCAAACCAGAACCCAGGAGGCATCTTTATTCTTAGGCTGACCCCCCACCCTTCCCATAGGTCCTACTCATCCTGTTTTATTATATTTCTGGAATGTGGACATTTCCTCCCCATTATTAGACAGTACCGAGTAGACAGGGTGGTTAGATTGCTGCTCTCAAATTCCATTTCCATCCCACTCACTATCTATGAAATTTTAAGCAAGCTACTTAATTTCTGTATTTCATCATCCTCATCTTTAAGTAAAGAATAACAATAGTAATTACTTCACAGAATTATTGCTTTGCATGTACAACACTTAAAACCATACCGGGCTCGCAGTAAACAATCAATAAGGTGTAAGTGATTATAGTTAAGCCTGAATCAACACTGGTCTTATTTCCCTCCAATCCACTAGTACGAAGCCCATGTAGAACAACCAACATCTTATATCCCCTCTCCCCTTACACTTATTTCCTCTCCAGCCTTAGCTCTAACTATTCCCCTGCTCACGAATAGTTAACTGCAAGCAGATATCAGACTTTGAGAGTCCGGGAGGAAACCCCAGTTGCCACACCTCTACCTATATGAACTCTTTTCCCTTGTTTCCTTTTAATAATACTGGCCATAACTAAAATGTAATGAGAGACAATTATATGTCAAGCATTTCGCTGAGCACTTTACATCATTTCTATAATAAAAGCCTTTCAACAACCCTGTGAGCAGGGAGCTATGGGTATCATCACCATCATCATCATCATATACGGAACAGGAATTAAGGTCACAGAGGAAGTAGGTCACCCCAGGTTAAATAGTTAACTGAAGCAGCTGTTAATACAGAGTTTCAGTATCCCAAACTCCATATTGCTTCTTTCAAAGGAAGATTCTGAGGTGTTCCTTACTCTAGTCCTCCAAGTCTGAGCTAAACACCGCCAGTGTGTGTAACACAGCTCATTTCTACATGGCACTTAGCACACTCCACATAAACCTCCTCCCTTCACTAGAGAGTAAACTTCCTGAAGGTGGGGACCACAGGGACATCATCTTAAAAAAATTTTTTTTGTTTGTTTCTGAAGTATTGCATTTGTTATGTATTCCTTAGATTGGTGCTTCTCAACTTTTGAGGAACATGTCTTTTTTAACTTTTTTAACTTTTTTTTTGGGGGGGGTGGGAAATCACACCCAGCAATGCTCAGGGATTCTCTGCACTCAGGCATATTAACTCCTGGAAGTGCATAGGTGAACCATATGGGATGCTGGGGACTGAACTTGGGTCAGCCATGTGCAAGGCAAATGCCCTCCCCACTGTACTATTACTCCAGGCCCAAAAGAAGCATGTCTGATGCTGTTTTCTATTCCCACCCCCTGTACTATGGGCCCCCTCCTCTTGTGCCATTCCCTCACCGTGTGGTTTTCTCCTGTGGCCCCTTGAAATTTCTAGGGGGTGCATAGGAGGTCATATAGCACTCAGTAGAGAAATGCTGCCCTAGAAAACAGGTGCTCAACAGATATTCACTGAATTAGGAAAAGGATACACTGGTACTATCAAATTTATTTCCCTGGATAGATTCATGCTGGAAATAAAGATATATTCTAAATAATAAAAGAAATGGGTAAAATAGTCTTTAACTTTGCTGATTTAGAGACATGACACACTAGCATCTTAGTTTTTAACATGGGTATTACTTTGAAGGCTTTGCCATCACCACTGAAAAGGCAAAAAGGAAACAACATAGGAATAAAAATGCACATTTCAAACAATAACTGACCACGGACGGTGCACAAGCAGTGCACCAGAGGAGAACAGAAAGAGAAAACAACTTACCTCTAAGTTTCAAGGGATTCTACCTTTGAATACAAATTCCACACACTTAAAACATGAGGGATAATTGCCCCCAAGGAATAAAATTGAGCATAGTTCAACTACAGTTTCTGTTTTTATTATTTACCTACTACGAATCAATGGTAATCTTTACTATCAATAGACTTTTGAGTTGCCATATTTACGAAGTGTACCTAAGACTGAAGAGATACACTCAATGGACTGAAGTGCATGCTTTGCAAGCAGGAGGCCTGGGCTTGACCCCTGACCTCATATGGTCCCCAGAACAACAACAGGAGTAGCTTCTGAGCACCACCCAAACTGGAAGGGGCAAGGGAGGTATATCTGATATATCTGATTTCTAAGAAGGCAGATATGAAGACAGGGCAACGACTTTTTTAAGCCAGAGACCCAGGTGCCATTTCTGACACCACGTGATCCTCTGAGTATCACCAGGGTCAACCCTGAGTTAGAAGTAGCCTCTGAGAGCCACCAGACAGAACCCCAAAACAAAACAAAGAAAATGGACGAAGAGAAACTCAAAAATTAAAGTATCATTTTTGAATAACTATTGTTGATTAACTGACCTATATGTTTTATGAGATTTTTCCAATCACAAAGAACCAGAAAAACCGGAATATAGCACTAAAGTATGACAATCTGGGGAAATGGCACAAAAGCAGGCATCAGGGGTCAGAGTAAAACAAGCAGGATACTTGCCTTGCATGCAGCCAACCTGGGTTTGATCCCCAGCATCTATATGGTCCCCCCACCACCACCCAAGCACTGCCAGGGGTAATTCCAAGAATAACCCCTGAGCTTTGCCGGGTGTTATCCCAAAACCAAAAACCAGAAAAGGAAAAAAAAAAGTAGGCATTTGAAACATAAGTATTGGGGTTGATTTGCAGAATGGCCCTGGGTGATATGTGATCTTCCTTCCTATAATCCTTAGGTGACAAAATAAAGTGTTTTGCCCCTTACGTTAATCAGTGCACTGTTAATAAGAGCACCAAGCAAAGCACCGAACACTTTTTACAATATTATAAAAATAAAGATGATCACAACTATTAGTTAAAGAACTTTAAATAAAACAACAACAACAGCACAACCTTACTCCCCCCTCCCCTCAGTGGAAAGGCCTTTGATCTCTAAAAGTCACATGAACAGAACTAGATCTAAGCAGGAACTAGTTCTAAGCAGACGTCTGATTATCACTCTCTAAACAAGGAAATAATCTTCCCTGAGTAAAGTAATTTTATCCCATTCAATTAAACAGGGGAAAGAGAGTAGGCCGGGGTGGAGGTGGAGGGGTGGAAAACCCTACATAAGCCTTTTCTCACAAAGAATTCTTCCCACTGGTGTTCCTATGTAGAAGTTGACAAAAACAACATGCCAGGTAAGAATCGGTCAACAAGGGAAGGAAAACATATAACTATTTAAACCATGTACTCAGTTCACACCTATCATCAATTATCTGAAACATATCACTAAATGCCAGAAGAACTTTGACTTTACCTAGAACCTCACACCAAAGCTGAAGAGTGCCACAAACCAACAACAGTCATCCCAGACAAGAGTGCTGGTCTCTTCCTTTGAAAGAAAAGTGCCAGAGTAGGTTTTTTTGTCTTACCCCACAAACCAGGGAGTAAAGATTTACTAGAAGGGTCTCCTGAGTACTTGACCCATTTTCACAATTGTAGGCCAGAATGTATTAGCAAAGAAAGGATAAAAATTCAATTTAAAGCTCAAAGCCACATGGTGGAAAGGATCCAAGGAGAGCTTTCAGTTCCAATAGATCAAGTTAGCTATCATGAAATAATATCACAACTCAAAGAGGGGACGGCCCTTTACCATGACCATCAGATCCCCTTCTGGGTACAGGAGTGGGGCCAGGGCACTGAACCCCTAGCCAATTCCCAAGCTGGAGTCTTGTCCGCCCGACTCTCCGAGCCGAGCAGGCAAGTCAATCCATGTTTGCAGCCTGTTCGCCCTCATGCAACAAACAATGTAAATGAAATCCCTGAAGCGGTAGAAAGAGACCCTCACGGTCTGTGATCTAGCAACTGCATCTTTCCCAAGTCTGAGGGAGAATGACATTTCAAAGAAGGAAAGAATCAAAGAGCAACCCAGAGAGCATCTGCACTTACATTGATCATGGCATTAGACGTTATCCTGAAGAGTGTGGCCCGTTCGTTGACCTGTTTGATCTTCTCGTTGCTCTCTGCGGGCAACCGCAGCGACTCCAGCTCACTGAGGGAGCGCTGCAGGGCTGTGCCGTGCTTGGCTATTAGGTCGTTACATGTGCTCAAGTCCTCCACCTTGCTAGAGAGGGTCCGGAGCGTATTCTGCAGCTCGGTCTTATCAGTTTGTGAGACCGACTCTTCATCACCTGACTCATCTGGAGGGGAGGAAAGGTAGGTGCTCTGAGCCTGGGTACAGGGCTGAGAATCAGAACCATGCCCACTCTCACATCTGTCACACCATGTGCTCTGAGTGATGGCGGGTATGTATTAGGAGGAGGCTGTTCTGTAGTGTGGTCCACAGCCTGTCTAGCCCACCTGGATCACAACATTCCGCCCCCCTGCCCCCAGTGGCACACAACAGTAAGTTTTAATTTTGATCATTTTTTTCCCCTTACCCAGTTATTGGGATATAATTAACATAGAGCACCATGTAATCTTACGGTACTCAGTATGGTGATTTGATTTATAAACACATTTACATATACATATAAATGATCACCACAGTAAATCTAGTTAATATTCACCATCTTATATAGATACCTAAAAACAAGAACAAACAAAAACCCACATTTTTTTCTTTTTCTTGTGGTGATAATTTTAGGACCTATTCTCTTAGCAATTTTCAAAAAATTACACACAGCATTATTCCATAACCACCGTGCCCCTAGTTTGTATTTCTTATAATTAGAGGTTTATACCTTTTGGCCATCTTAATCCAATCTCCCACCACAACTCCTTTTGTTTTGTTTTGTTTTGTTTTGTTTCGGGATCATACTTGGCAGTGTTCAAGAGCTACTTTTGGAGGTGCTTTGTGGACTATGTAGTGCCAGGGATCAATGCTGGTGCTTCGATATACAAAACATGTGTTCCACGCCTTTGAGATTCTGAAAGGTGCAGGACTTTTGGCCCTGTTCCCATAGACTAATTTAGCTTGTGTGAGACAGGCCCAGGAACATGCATTTTGAAAGAGCTGTCCAAGTAATTCTGCATAGGAATTTGAAAATTCAATGAAAACCAATGCCTTGGAGGACAGGATGGAGAAGTTAAATGCACTTGAGGTTGGGAATGAATTACTGAGCCTTTTAACATTAGTTTAAGAGTACCAATGCAATCTGAGCAATTACTGCAAACCCAGTATCAACTGTTGGGTGATTACTGGAACCTGCATAAAATAGTTCTTTTTGGGTCATACCAGGAGATGCTCAGGGCTTACTCCTGACTCTGCACTCAGGAATTACTCCTGGTGGTGATTGGGGGATCATATAGGATGCAGGGGATCAAATCAGGGTTGGCTGTGTGCAAGGCAAATGGTCTACCAGCTGTACTACCAACTCTGGCTGGCCCTTAAAGTGGTTCTTTGTAAACAAAGTCTAGGTCATCAATAGACTCATTAATTTATCCTTCCTGAAGAAGAACTCAGGAACTTCAAGATGAATTCCTATAATCCAAAAGGCAACCCTGCACGGAAAGCAATTCAAGGACTTGTGTAAATGACTATCCAAGAGTGAATTAAGTGGGGAGGTATGTTGTACCTCTCACTACCAGTTCTGTCTTGACACTTTGTAACTGCAAATTGCTTTTCCAGCAGTGTCATTTGTCATTTCCTTTGGAGGAGCTAACAGCACTAAAATCAAAACAAAAGAAATAAAACCTGCCCCCTATCTGCTAGACAGAGAAGCAGTGCCTAAATGAAAATATAACCTGCTATAAAAAAAAAAAAAACACCCGACAAACTGTGAATTTTCCTTTGACTACTTAATAGATATTAAGTATGGTGCAGAGGGTAGAGAGACAGTATTAGGATTAAGGAGATTGCTTTGTATGCAGCAGACCCATGCTGGATCCCAGGTACTACATATGGTCTCATGAGCACTACTGGGAATGACCACTCAGCAGAGAGTCAGGATTAAGACCTGTGCACGGCCAGATATGGCCCAATCCCTATCTCTGCAATAAAACAAAAACAAATCCTAAGTGCTGTGTGGACAATAAAAACCACAGCAGAACCAAAGTCATCAGGTGACTATGATTAAGTGAAAAAAAAAAAAAAACTCAGTGGGATTAAAACATTAACTTTAGGGCCAGAGCGATAGTACAGTAGGTAGGGTGTTTGTCCTGTACACGGCTGGCGGAGGTTCAATCCACAGCACCCATTGGTCCCTAAACCCTGCCAGGAATGATCCCTGAGCACAGAGCCAGGAGTCAGTCCTGAGCCCTGCCGGGTATGGCCCCAACAACAACAACAATAAAAACTTTTTTACCCAAGTTGAGTACCACCACTCCAAGAAAAACACTACATGATTGGAAAAGTCTGATACATCTATGAGATAGTTAATCATTAAGGTATAAGGTATAATTAAGATTTATAATGTATATAATGACAATAAGGTATAAAATTTATGCTTACAAACAAAGGGTAAACCGAATGTTTCCTAGACTTGATGTTCTTCGCTCCCTACCTGATTCTGCCAGCATCTTCACAGCCTTGGCCTTGGCCAATTCCAGGGCTGTCACCCAGCGCTGCCGCTCCACTTCCGAGCTCGCCTTCAGATGGTAGGTCTGAGCACCCCCATTGGAAATAATAAAATTACAGGAGTCCTCCACCGTGATGTTGGCTGTGGCGAGGTTGATGGTACCACGGCAAGTATGTCTCATTTCCGCCTTTGACCTGAAATAACCAAGCAGACAAGTTAAGAAAGAAAAACGATGAGGTGGCATATCCTTCTTATTTGCATCACCCTGAGACTTTTCTAAAATGTGGGCGCACATGACTCGGCCCTGTGCTCCTCGAATGGCTCCCTAAAACTGAAGAAATGCAGGGCTTTCCTTTAAGTGTTGTTCCTGAGTCAGATATCTGCTATTCCTCTTAACCTTCGCTTTTGAAACACAGGCTTTGCTGAGGTACATGCCATACCAAAAAAATCAGCTTTGCTACTATTGTTGTTGTTGGGCCACACCCAGTAGTGTCCAGAGCTTACTCCTTGGCTCTGTGCTCAGGCACCACTCTTGGCGGAGTTTTGGGGAAATAAGTGGCATCGGGGAATTGAACCCAGGCTGGTTTCAAGGCAAGTGCCTTACCCACGCTGCTATTTTTCCAGCCCCTAAATTCAGCAATTTTAAGTCTGTAGCAAGAATTTTGAATTGTGTAACCACCTCCATAATCAAGATGCAGAGCATTTCCATCATTTCCCCACCCCCACCCCCAAATTCCCTCATGTATCTTTGCAGTCAGGAATGATCTTTTATTTAGGAAAGTTTAAACTGTTTTATAAACTCATGCAACAAAATGTCATATAACAATATCATTCCCTAAGGGGGGAAAAAATAGTTCCATTTTACATTTCACAATCCTACATGGAACTCAGACCAAATAAGAACCTCACTTTACACTTGCAAAATCATAAAGCAATACGGGCACCCTTAGATGTTTAGAGTATGAAATACTGACTACAGCTCAAGTAATGAAATAAGAATAATTTTCTATAGGAGTGGGGGAAAAAATAATCATAAAAGAATCATCAAGCAGAGTAATAATTCTAGAACATGTGTTTTCCTAAGGTCCACTGACTTCTATTGGTGGGAACTCCTAAGCCATTCTATTAATAGCAAAAAGATTCAGCAGATCTGTTCTTGGAGAACTGGGTGTAAAATTTTTCCCACCTCCACTGACAGACAGTTCTATTAATAGACTCACTTTTGAACTTTATAGCATTACTTGGTGACAACAAGCGACAAGAGAGTCGCATAAAAATATCAAGCGTCTAGCACAATTAAGTGCAGCGCAGAAAGTGTGCCAGTTTTCCCACTCTCCATTGATTCTGCTCAGGGACCTGCATGTTGAGACCAAAGTTTTCGCTGGCCAACTTGGAACATAAAGAGGTCAAAGTCCTTTGCCAAGTGCCAAAGGATAAAGCAGAGTTTCCCTTTCACCGGAGCCAAGCAACCAAACACACCTGGCACGTCCAGAATTCCTGCATGCCAGAAATGACACACACCCCTTAGAAGCTTAGATCTGGTGTGTTTGAGAAAGTCTGTCTGCTGCGCTTAGGAAGACAGATTTGCTATTGTTCAGTCTGTCCATGAGACTAGTTCTTCTTTCTCAAGTGTACAAATGAGCAGCAGGGAACAGGAGGGGGTCTCACTGTTTTCCATCCCCTGCACCTGCCACACTGTAACCCGAGTCCCTGTTTTTTCCTAACCTTACCTCCCCACCCCCCACACGTCCGTGCTTCGGTTACATTATGCATAATGCAGGCTGAGTTAGGTCCACAGGTGAGCCCTCCCTTGCCTTCTGCTCCAAAGGTGCTACTTGGACATTCTACCACATTCTTTCTCCCAACTTTTCATCACTTCCTAGGGATCCCTTCTACCAAGACTATCTTTGTCAACACCGGAAGTTTCTCGAATCACAGAATGTAGTAGTTTAAAGATAGCAAGGAATTCTAGGTATAACAGGCCTGAACTCAGAGCCACTGGGTCTTGGAAGAAACACCTATGGTTGTTAGTCATCAGTGCAGAAGGTTGGAAGGCGTGGTTTTTTCAGAATGAAAGATAAATTGTTTAGGAATGACAGTATTAGATGGAATTTTTGGACTAGAGAGTTCTTTGGAGAGGCCAGCTGAAAGAGTCATTCAATCTCCAGAAGCTAGCAGAAAAAGAATACCATTGGCCTCTTATGATGTGTCTGAGAGCTGCCATGGGCCACCCAGGTAACTGGGCATGAAAGGAACAATAAGACAAGTCAATGGAAGCAGCTTGCTGAAGCCTACTGAGAGAGTAAGAAGATGGGTCTGGGGAATAGGGTGTCTTAGATAAACAGAAAAGTATTTTGTAAAAAGGTATATGTAGTAGATGACTGGTTTGGGGAGCATGAGAAGCAAGAGGAATGGTAGTTTGCGTAAATAACCTGGGGAAATAAGAACCTAGTGATCCTTGTTGGTAAGAATAAACTACCAATAGCTGCTGAAGCACTTCAATGATTTTGAGAAGTATATAGATGCGATAACTCTAAATCCTGTTGCCTGGTTTGTGGGTGGGTCTATTGTAGTTAGCAAGGACAGGCCTATGCCATATTTCCCAATATATGGTTGGGTATGTTTCAGAAGCTCTATCTGTAGTCAGACAGGTACCACTAGCTCCTGTTAAGGAAGAACTTAAAATCAGTTACAGGTACTTAAAAAAATTATTAATATCCAAGCAAGATGTAAGTGAACCAAGAAGGGTACTGATAGGAGATGGGAGAATATGCTTTGCATGTAGAAGCCCCAGGGTTCAATCCCAGGAACCACATGATTCTCCAAGCATCACTGGGAGTGATTCCCTAGCAGAGCCAGGACTGGCCCCTGAGTATGACTAAATGTGATCCCCAAACAAACAGACCAAAAAAGGCACTGAATAAAGAATAAGCTAGCTGAAAAGTGACTCTGATAAGAACACAGATGAGGAAAAATGACCATACATTAAGACCCTCGGTCAATACAGAGTTAAAAACAAACAAACAAACTGAGGAAAGCAGCCAGGCCTCATATGCTAAGAGGTACACACTCTGTCATCATGTCACATTCCTGGTCCCCGATACGCAACATTTGAAAGTGCTTGAAAATGGGGGATAGTGACTTATGAGTCAAATAAGGATCTGAATCAGTATGAGAATGATGGTCAGTAACATCAGAGAAGTATGAACTTGAAGGACAGGGGTATCGCTCAGTGGGCACTTCCCTTCCAAGTGGGAGTTCCCAGGTGTGATCTCCAGGCTACAATAAAACACACCAAACAAACCCACCCTCCCCCACCATGAACCTGATTAGGAGGAAAACTTTGGAACAAGGTAAAATGTTTGGGATCTAACTTTAAACAGTTGTGTAATTTCCTAATCAAAATCAATTCTAAATATAATAACGCAAATGACATACATCTGTTAACAGTTAATGTCACTTAGGCAGTGAGGATGGGCTAAAGCATTTTCCCACGCACAGAGGACAGATAAGAAAGTGTTCCTACTTCAGTGACCTCCAACTCCGCCTTCCATTTCCCTTTAATATTTTCGAAAGGCCCAATCAGAGGAGTCACTGAATAAAAGAGATTGGTTCACCAACTGTCCAGTCCACTGAAGGGAGCCTTCTTTATACATTTTGTATAAAATACACAAAGTAACTGTTAGAAACTGAAGTGCAACAATACACAAAGCAGTTACCCGGGTGTCTGCCTGATCCTTACAGCACTAACCTGGGCTTTAAGTTATGTTACAGTGAAGAGAGTTAGTTTCAAATTTTGATTCCTCAAAATCTGGGAGGTGCCCAAGCTCAGTTTCCTCATCTGTCAGATGAGTAGCTGGCCGACCCCCTGGATTGTGGCTGTCTGTAAAAAGACATACACGAGGGCCCCAGTCTCAGGGAAAGTTTGTGTCCCATCTCCAAATCCGGTATCTTAACTCCTCTCGCTCTAATAGCCAAAAAGGCATGCTATGTTATGGCAAGACTGTGAGTCACCATAAATCCATATAATAAACATCCCAAAACAAACACTGTGGAGCAGAAGGCAGACCGAAGACACGGATTCTCTTGCCTTGAACTTCACCTCGTTACCCAGAGATCCTGGCTAAAGCACATCACCATTGCCCTCGGAGGGGGTGGGGCAAGCCCAGATCCAAGCGGCCCGGGAAGTGCACACCTCCAGTCGGGGCTGTCCAGAAAGCCAAAACACACCCAAGAAAGAGTCTTGCACTGGGCAGGCGGGGGCCCGATAACCGAGGCCGCCCGGTGCATCGCGTCCTTGTGCCTGAACGTGGAGGGAGCCGCGAAATAACCTTGAATTTTGGAAACTCGGCACCGATACGCGAAGCCTTGGGACTTTCACTGGAAGTTCCTGCAAGCGGGGGTGGGGTGTGTGCGAGTGTGGGGGGAGGGAAGCGGGATGGGGGGGGGGACCTTTTGCACCTACAACAGCGCCTTCCATGCAGAATGATTAAGTCGTGCACGGCCGTGCGGGTGAAGACACAATGGAAGAAGAGTGGTGACGGCTCCCCGGGAACAAATGCACCCTTGCAAAAGGCCAGGGGTGGCCAGGGAGAGGTACGGCTCGCAGGCTGGCCAGCCCAGGCGCCCGGGGCGAGCGCGGTGGGCTTTTCCTCGGGTGAGGGTGGGCTCAGGTGCAAGCAGCTGTCAGTGCACGCGGGAGGAGGGAGGGGGAGGCCTGGGGCGACCTTGGCTGCGGGGCCGCCGGGGGAGGGTGACGGCGCGGGGGCTGTGGGCTGCGGCGAGGAGGGGGGTGAAGGGGGTGGCGGGGGGTGTTGGGGGGGGGGGGAGACACACACGGCGCCCCGGAAGCAGTTACCTGTAGTAGCTCAGGAGCCCGTTGCTTAACACGAACCACCGGCGCTGGTAGCCTTTGATGTAATTGGTCCACTTGAAGAGCCAGCCCTCTCGAGCCGAGCCCGACCCCCCGGCGCCCGAGCCGCCCGAGCCCCCAGCCGGCGGCACCGGGGCCGGGCCGGCCGCCGCCACTCCCCCGGAGCCCGGGCCCGCGCCGCCCGCCGTCGCCGCGGCCACACCGCCCGGCGGGGCCCCGGAGCCCGGCCCCGAGTCGCCGCGGCCGCCGGCGCCGCCGCCTCCCAGCACGGGGGGCCCCGTGCCGCCGCCGCCCGGGGCGGCCATGGCTGCCGGGCCGGGCCCCACCACTCCTCTCAGTTCCGTCGCCGCCATGAGCCGCCGCCGCCGCCGCCGCCCGGAGATACACGACCGGAACCGCCTACGAGAGCCGCCGTCGCCGCCCGGAGCGTCCCACACGGCTAGCGCATCAGCCGCCGCCGCGCAGCGTCCCCGCCCCGCCAGGCCCGCCGCGGGGAGGAGGGCTCGGCCGCCGGGAAGAAGAAAGTCGATTGGCGCCGCCGAGTGTCACTAGCGGAAGACCCCCTAGGACATTGGCATTTCTCTCGGGCCTGTCATTCCACACAGCCCAGTGAGAGCCCGGGGGCGGGGCGCGTCCCCCAGGCGCGCCGCCGATTGGCGCAGGCGAGAGCCAATCAGGCTCCCCTCGCAGCTCATTGGCTCTGCCTCGAGGGGTCCGGCGCGCAGGGTGGACTGGAGAACGCCGAGGGCCCGGGCGAGTTGGTCGCCGATTGGCTCGTGGGCCCGTCACTTATTTCCGTTTCTGCCCCCCCCCCCCCGTCACTGCCACGTCACCCCCTCCCGTCACTCTTCTCTTCGACCCTCTTCCGCCCTGACGGATTGGTGGTTGGTGGCGACTGTTCAGCCCTCCTCCTGCCATTTACTGTAGTAGCCGAGGAGAAAAGGCGGGGAAGAGTCTCGGCGTTGACACCCTCGTTTTCACTGCTCATTGGTTGGACGGCACGTCATTCGCCGGGACGGGTGTTGGAGATGATTGGATTCGGGAATTGTCTGTGAAAGCTGTAAGCGATGTTGACCAATGAAAGAGACCCGTTGAGAGCCGGGGGCGGGGCGGCACCAAGACAACCAATAAGGCTCGGGAAGGAGCGCGGAGGGGCGTGCCCGTCTGCTGCCAGTTTTGGAGAAGTTGGTTCCCGTCAACTTCTCCGAATCGTTTTATTTGTTTTGTTTTGTTTTGATTGTGTGTGTGTGTATGTGTGTGTGTGTGTGTGTGTGTGTGTGTGTGTGTGTGTGTGTGTGTGTGTGTGTGTGTGTGTGTGTGTAGACACACGCAGTCTTGCATGACCCTTTATTCGGGATTAAGATCTTTGCAGCTCTTTGTAAGAGTCAGTCTTAGAGTTTGTCCCTGCGTGGAGCCCCGGGTTCGCAGCCGTCTCTGAGCCGGAGGCCTGGATTGCCGGGGCGGCCCAGAAATAGTTTCCGCAGTTCCCTCCTGGACCCACGGCCCTCCTCATTTCCTTCCCTGGTTTGCTCAACTTGGCACCACACCCCTTTTTATCTCTTGGTTCTAGACTGTCAGATGCTTCTCCTAATTCTGGCCCGGGAGTTGCTGACCTAGCTGGGAGGAGAAAATAGACTCGCGAGGACCTCGCTTCGAGTGTACTTTCAACCCGTCGCTACCAGATGTCAAGGCCCTTGGCTTGAGCACGAGCCCACACGTATATGCTTAGCTGGGCACGGGAAATAGTTGCTGTTGTTTAGTTGGCTTTCTTGGTACGTATGAGAAAGTCATTTAACATTTCGATGGTGTAAACTATTGTTATAAAGATTCAAAAAGTATACTCTAAAGAAATCCCTGTATCTGTTACATTCTTTCCAGCTTTAAACGGCAATAGAAATAGTTGTTAGATACTTCTAAACAGATTTGCTTTTCCCTTGGCTATGTGCTTCCCAGGTAACAAGAAAGTGAAAGTACCCTCGCCCCCCATCCCCCTTTTTCAAAAGATGTCTATTTATTTAAAAATGTATTTTTTTTTTCAGGGGCTGGAGCGATAGCACGGTGGGTGGCGTTTGTCTTGCACACGGCCAACCTGGGCTCGATTTCCAGCATCCCATATGGTTCCCTGAGCACCGCCAGGAGTAATTCCTGAGTGCAGAGCCAGGAGTAACCCTGTGCATTGCCGGGTGTGACCCAAAAAAGTTGAAAAGAAAAAAAAAGTGTTTTTTTTTTTAAAAGAGAGAGAGAGGGAGAGAGAGACATAGAGAGATAGAGATTTGTGAATTTTGGAAAATATGCTTTAAAAGTCCTACCTTTTCTATAATCCTGAGAAATTTTAACTTATTTAGAGTCACACCTGGCTATGCTCTGGGGCTTACTGAGTTCAGCGATGGCTTCTGGAGGTGCCTGTAATTGAACCCAGGTTGGTGGTGTGCATTCAGAGCACCTTACCAGCTGTACTGCCTCTCCATCATCAGTGTTGGGATTTTTTTTTTAAACACTGTGAGTCTATTTTCACATCCGTTGAATAAGAGTAAAACGCTACAGGAATGCTGTTGTGATTGGATGCATATAAAGAGGTCTGATACACCTCTGAAAAATAGCTGCAAAAAACGTTGCCAAGCACGTTGCCTACAGTGACTTGCTAATCACAAAGGAGAAACAAAGACTTTGATAATAGGAAAACCTGTCTGTCCCCTCTGCGTAACTGAGTTACCCAGCTTAGCGTTGTTAACCCTGGGACAATGCACATTTTTATGAGGTAACTCATGTGCTGCAGCATGAAGCCATCACATAATGACATTTCCTTGCCTGAATGTTGAACCCAAATCTAATCAAACCTTCATATCTGACCTCTGGTTTACAGGGGCTGGAGGAACCAGTTTAACGACACCCCCCCAAAAAGCAATCAGATAAATCAAGAATGTGAGGTATTCTAGAAGACAACTGGTTTTGAGAAGACATGAAAATTAAGGAGAATTATTACTTAAAAAAAATTTAGAACCCGAGGTCATGGTTCTAAATTTTAAAAAATAGTGGCAGAGAGGTAGCTTAATTGGCTACATGCCTTGCGTGATTTTGATCCCTGGTACGACATGGGCCTCTAAGTGCTGAGCCAGGAGTAGTCAGAACTGCTTTGATAATGACACCCCGACCCAAATGCCAAACAAATGAAAAAAAAATGAAGCAAATGAACAAAATCAAGAGACAAACATGTTTTGTTTTTAAATTCTGGGAACTGGAGAGATAGTACTGTGGATAGGGTGCTTGACCTGAATTTGATCCCTGAGCCCTGCAAGGGTTGAGCACCACCTGGGTGTGCCCCCCCTCAACCCTCAAAAAAATAGAAATTTGTGGAATGCATTTATTATTTTATTTTAGTTTTGAGTGGGTGTAGGGTCATACCCAGAAGTACTCAAGATCAGTTCCCTGGGGACCATTTGTGGTGCCTGGGATTGAATTTGTGCTCTCAGTTGCAATGCAAGAGACTTAACCCATGTACTATCTCTCTAGCCCAAAAGGTAACCAAATGTTTGATTGGAATCTATTTTTGAAAACAATTCATAAGGCTTTAAAAAAAACGATTTGGGAAATTTGAAAATGAACCTGTATTAGATGACATTAGCTTGTTATATCATTTGCTTATGTGATATAGGTATGATGACAGACATCTTCAAATTTGGGAGAAACGTGTTCAAGTATTTCAGAGTGAAGAGTCATGAGTTTATGATTTCCTTTGACATGGGTCAGTAAAGTACACAAAGAAAGAAACAGGAAAGACGGGACCAGGGATGTGGTCAAGGGGTAAAATACCATAATAACCCCCTCGTAGCCACCCTTCTACACCCTCAGGAGTGAACCCCACCACTAATAGCAAAGGAAAAGTTAAGAAAAACAAAATATTTTGAAGTGTACATAGACATATGTATATATTATCTTTGTATCCATACAGGGATATAGGAAAATGTTGCTAGTTGAGGACAGGACTATCACTATCACTATCCTCCCATTGTTCATCGATTTGCTCGAGCGGGCCCAGTAACGTCTCCATTGGAGACTTTGTTGTTACTGTGTTTGGCATATCGAATACGTCACAGGGAGCTTGCCAGGCTCTGCCGTGCAGGCGAGATACTCTCGGTAGCTTACCGGGCTCTCCGAGAGGGGTGGAAGAATTGAACTCGGGTCGGCCATGTTGGCTGCGTGCAAGGCAAACGCCCTACCACTGTGTGCGTTGAGGATAGGACATCATTTTAAATTCTGGTTTTGGAGCACCCCTAGCAGTGCTCAGGGCTTACTCCTAGCTCTGTGCTCAGGGATCACTCCTAGTAATGCCAGGGATTGAACTGGAGTTGACTGCATGTAGGCAAGGATCTTAACTCCTGTACTACCTTTCCAGTCCCTATTATATATCATTTCTACTTTTTACTGTGTCTCTGACAAATTTTAATTTAATCTCCTGACTTACTGTTGTTTATTTCTTAGTCTTGACAATTTGCTCTCCCTTCTCTTTCTAACCAGCCCGTTTTACTCTAGTGCATATACTCTATGCTACAAATATTTCTGTCACATTTGCCCTGAATTGTCTTGGACAGGTACTTCTTGCATATGTTTTTCCTCTTTTCAGTGCCCAGAACAATAAGCTTCCTTCACAGTTTCCTCTGATTTCCCTGCCTAGAAATAATGCTTCCTTTCTTAGGACTTCTAGAATTTCCTGTGATGTTGTTTTGCCTTATAGTTATTTAAATTCCAAACACATTGCCACTTAATTGTGTGGTCATCCAATGTGTGATCTGTACTTGTTTGATTATCAGTTCCTTCAGTGCCAGAATAGCATATTCATCCACCTTCCTATTTATTGAGCATTTGTTCAAAGAAAGAAACAGGAAAGTCCTCTAGGATTGGGTGAAGTGTTGGGGACAGATTAGTGAACGTATAAACACACATACTTTTTTGAGGTGGGGGTCACATCTAGTGATGCTCAGGGGCTACTCCTAGCTCTGCACTCAGGAATTACTCTTGGCGGTGCTTGGGGGACAATATGGGATGCTGGTGATCGAACCCAGGTTGACCGCAGGTATAAGGCAGACACCCTTACCTCTGTACTATCAATGTTTTTTTGTGGAGCATAAATAATATTTGAGATCCCAGGTGTTAAGAAACATATGAGGGGCTGGAGTGACAGTACAGCGGGTAGGGCATTTGCCTTGCATACAGCCAACCCGGGTTCGATCCCTGGTATCCCATATGGTCCCCCAAGCACCACCAGGAGTAATTCCTGAATGTAGAGCCAAGAGTAACCCCTGAGCATTGCTGGGTGTGGCCCAAAAAGCAAAAAAAAAAAAAGAAAAGAAAAGAAAGAAACATACAAATTCATATGTACAGCATTTGCATAGAGAGAAGATGCACAGTAAATATATACACAGATAAGAAGATGGACAACAGCCAAAGAGCTATGAAAGAAACTAATTGGCTTCAAACGGGGATGAATTGGGGCCCGGAGCAAT